AGAAAAAAAACCTCTCAGACATACTGACCAACTCAAAAGCAAAGTTTTCTAAAAAGACAAGATGTTTATATAAACTGAAAATGACAACTAACAACTCAAAATCAGAACAGTAGCGGTCAATGCATTTAAACCAACCAAAGCCCTGGGGCTGGGAGGACGGGCTCAATTTCATGATTATTGGAGCTAAGGTTACTGTTGAAATGTGGTGCTTTTTTCTGCACTAATAAAAGACTTGTGGGTAGGAGTCCAGTACATGACAGTTTAAGGGATAATTGAATAAATGAATGGTTTTAATGAGCTGTACGTTCTACCTTGGCTTCAAAGCAGACTTTCCCCTTTGTCACTCCGTAAGTGCTCCTTGCCCCAGACCACAGGGTGGGGAACTTCTCCGAGAAAAGTGGCTGCCCTCCGTAGCGGTCTTTGCTCACTTGAAAATGGAGATCTGAGGTATCTGGTAAGAAAGAAGCAATCTATTTATGCTAATACCCAGCAATCCGAAGCCATCCACAGAATACAAGTACACTGAGTCGTCAAGAATGGATACAAAGTCTCCCATGTGCTGCATTTCTTAAAAAGTTGCAGGCCATGAAGTTTTAATCTCCAAAATCACTTCTGATTGGTTAAACCCCCAACCTGCCTGCCTTATACATACACGTGTCCAGGTTCACAAGAGTTTGATCCTCCTCCTCATCTTTTGCCTCTTCTTCAGGGGGTGGTGGAGACTTTGAGCTATATGTGTAAAGAGAAAAGCAAATACAATGTAACTAAAGCCCTCTTCTTCAGGGGTGTCTGCATGACATCATGTCTGTTTTAAACTATCGGTGAATATAAAATTCCAGCAGACAGCTTCTTTCAGTAAATGAGAAAAGGGCAACAGGAGCTTTCAGGGTAGATTCAATCTAGAACTTACTCCTATTAAAAAACCTATTCCAGTTGTAATCCACCCCTCTTTCCAGACTCTCCAATCAACACCAGGTATACCGAAATCAGAGCAGACACTCCCTTCAATGAAAGGGACTGTTTCCCTCACCGGCTGTGGTAAGCCTCCTCTCGGAATTCATAGTAAGCTCGGCCATGTTCATCCTTCTCATCCCGCTGTCTCTTTACCCCCCGCCGCTCACCATCTGAGCCTGCTGGTTTTGACTTTTCACTATCTTGGTCATCTCCTACAAAAAGGAGGGAAAGAAAATCAGCAGTTTTCATACTGGAGTGCAGAATAAGCTCAGAACCAACAGAAACTAAAGGGTGATCTGAGTATCTGTCCCATCAGTATACCCAAGTGGCTCCCACTGCATCAACAGAATGTTTTATTTCCAAAGATCTCCCTCTTGTCATTGGCTGGAATTTTATTTTATTTTATAAAAGGACACTATTTACAGTCAAGCCATAGATTAAAATTGGACAATTTTTGCATTCTAAATTTATCTGTTTAAATGAGGTCAAACTTGCAGCTTTCCCCACCAATATGACATATTAAAAAACTTCATAGGTCAATTTTGACTCTTGTCAGATTTGAATTTGATCTAGACACAAAACATATTTTCCAACACTTTCCATGGCTTCATGATACAGAAGACTCAATTTTAAAAAAAGAAAAAAAATAAGAGTTTGCCTTTCAATCTTTAAAATGCACAGGCATCCACAGGTTTACTTATATAGCAGATGGACACAGGTGCATGATACAGAGCTATATTTTTATCATGGATTTTTACTGAAGGTTGCAAGAGCAAACCACTAATTCACAAGAGATTCATAAATAATACTGCATCTTTATGGCACATAATTTTAGGCAGAAAGGTGCTGTCATATATTTAACAACATTCTTTACAAGGGGGGGAAACCCAGGTGTCTTTCCTTAGGCCTTTGTAGTTTCAGTACAAAGGAGTTTTGTTTTGTCCCCCCCCCCCATAATAATTTAAGACAGTCCTTTATTTCTCGACCTTTTTTATCTGCTATTTGGGATACACATTAAGTCAAAGGTTATGTAATGGGACTTTTGTTTCAGAACATCGAACAAACAATCTTCAAGTTGCACATGACTATCACGGAATGGGTCCCAATTATACCGTGATACTAAGTAGCAGTACTGTAGAATGGGTTCCAATTATACTACGATACCAAGTAGCACCCTAAACAACCTATTATAAAGAGAATAAGGAAACCCACTTCATAGTAAGAGTGGTAGCAGCTCTAGTTTCCCTCCACACTGACAGATAGTTACGGAGCAGCTCTAACCATCCAATCACTTCAAAGGAAGACAGGTCACTAACTCCCCGGGGGGCCACTTTACACAAGGTTATTCAGCGGACCCACCAACACCTCAATCATTTCAATTCAGTCACTTAGGAACCTGAAATGTAAAAGGCTAGGCTAAACGTACAGCAAATTTACAAAACATGCCCATCCGTCAACTCGGTGGTAAGATTACTTTTTAATCATAATATAGGCAAAATAAAACCCCTAGCCACGTCGAGTGACTTATTCTAAATGCACTAGATAAGACTTTCTCTTCACTAGTTAACCATTAAACTCGACACCATCACACCACAGGCTGTCCCCCTGCTGCTAAAGCAAGAGCAAGGCTGGGTTGCCAAATTCTGGGTGGCTCAAACTACACCACCGTGCTTTTGAAGGAGCGAACTTTTGACGAATTTAGTTCACTGCTTAGTATTTTTATGGCGAAAAGGTCAACGGGCAGCCAAAAGGCCTAAAGCCTCCAACAGTGGGTCTGGTTATTCCTGAAATCGCCAATTCCCCAGTGCAATCTCGGTTCAGGAAAAGAGAGCCAGCACTGTGGGAGGCTGCTCCACAGGTAGCTCGCCAGCAGTTCGCATGCAACACTGTTCACTTCCATCCACTACCAACCAACGAACCAAGTTAAGCAGGAACCTCCCTTCTGCAGAAAATGGGGCCACTAACGGTGGTCAAACCTCCTAGAAAGGTGCGAAGAGAATAAAAGCCACCTCCCCTGGGCAGTCCCATCAAATGGTGATCGGAATCTTGTACTTTCAGGCAAGGGAGGACAAGAGATCGGACCCCGTGGTGCAGGGCTGGGTGCTTGGGACAAGGGCGCACCCGGCAGGTTGGAGCCGGGCTCCGCTGCCAGCTCCTCACCCTGTTCCTCTGCGGCCTTGTCACCCGGCGCCTCGGATCCCGGCGTCTCGTCCCCGCTCCGCTCCTCTGGCTCGTCTTCCTCCCCCTTGCCGGTGCCCTGCTCTTCGCCACCATTTACCCCACCTGACTCGGCCGTGGCCTCCTCGGCCGGCTTCTCGGAAGCATCGGGCTCGGCCGCGGCCTCCACGGCTGCCGCCTCCGGGGGCTCCGGCGGCGGCTGCGCGGCCTGGTCCGAGGCCTGGGTAGGGGGTGGCTCTTCGTCCTCGTCCTCAAGCAGCGCCTCCTCGTCCTCCTCCTCCTCTTCGTCCTCCTCCTCGTCCCCGCCCGGGCCGCCGCCCGACGCGTCCACAGGCCGAGGCTCCGCCTTGCAGGCCCCGCCGGGCACGGCCCCGACACCGCCGGCCTCGTCCTCGAGCATCTCGGCGTCCAGCGCCTCCTGCAGCCGCTGCGCCAGATCCACCTTGAGGCCGCGCGAGTCCAGGCCCCGCCGCTGCAGCTCCGACCGCAGCTCGGTCACTTTCAGCCGCTTCACCTCCATCGCCGCCGCCGCCTCCTCCGCCTCCCGCTGCCTCCTCCCCTGCGAACCGACGACCGAGCCCGACCGCGCAGGCGCCGCCGCCGCCCGCCTCCGCTTCACGCGCCAGCACTGAGCCCGCGCGAGCGAGCGCGCACGGACGCACGCGGGCGGCTAGAGCCGCGCGCAGCCTCTTCTACGGTTCTCCCTTCTGTTTCACTCCCCTTTTCGGCCTACGGAGCCCAAAACAACGTATCGGGAAAGTATTTCCCTCCCTGCTCTCTCGGTTCCCCTGACGCGGGCGGGCTCGCGGCTAGGACGACGGACTTCCCTCCCTTTACCTCCCTCCCCCTCTCACCTACTGGCCAATCGCCGCCGGTGGTTTCACTGCGCAGGCGCACCGAAGCCGGAGACAGGCTAGCCTGGCTGCGGCTCAAGTGCCTCGTAGCAGGGAGGCGTATGCGCGCCCTTCTTTCCGTACTTCAGCCGGGGTTGCGCAGCAGCCCGGGCTCCCGCAGCCCCTCCCACCCGGTCGCCACCATCACTCCCTTCTGACTTCCGATCGTACTTTAGTCTTGGGACTTGCTCACTAGTCTCTTTCTACTCTCTATGCATGCAGCAACTTATTGAGAGTTTTTTTAAAAAGCCGGAAGGGAAGCTGTTGCAATGTGAAGGCCTAGTAATTACGTTTCTTGTTAGTAAACCAAAGGGCTCTCCAAAACCAAGGAATACAGTAACCCCTTGCCCCGCCCCCACAACGCCTCAACTTCTACCTAGCAACAGATATTCGGACCTCGCCTTTTAGCGAAATCATTGGCCAACTTGAATTGTCATCTGCAATTGTGATTGGTCACCCGTGATCATCCGGATTTTTCCAATTGGCGAAATTGTCAGGGGATTTTTTTTCCCCCCCATGTTGTTCCGCAGGGGAGGTTGGAAAGCCTGGGTCGTTTCTGCGGGATCCCTTTTCTGGGGCCGCTTCTGATTGGGCGGCATGGTGCAATGCGCGCGACCATTTAGACAACAAACTGTCAAAAGGCCAGACCCTGTCCTCTGGATTCTCCCATTCGTAATCCAAAACCCAGGGGGATACTTCCGGGCTTGGGCATTTGCAGAGGGTTGGCCGCGGGGCTCGGAGAGTTTGCAGCTGAGCTGCACTGCGACTGGGCCAATCAAGGCCTTTGGGCACGGACCGCATTCACCTCGGTTTCCCAGCTCCTGGCACAGACATCAACGAATGCTACTTGCATACGTGCGAATAAAGAGCTGGGATGGAGGCAAGCCCTATAAACTTCTCTTAACAGTCATCCCCGCCTACTTCCTTCCACTTCCAGGTCAGGGAGGTGTGTCTAAAAGAAAGGAGGAAGCAAATTCTGCCGGCGTTCACACGCCTGCCTCAATTCCTTACTGCGACCTTTGCTTCTTCGGGTTCTCCTCACTCCAGAATCGCCTCTTTAGAAATTCACTTAATCTCTGGCTTTCCCATTCCCACACCCTCTCACTGATTAGTTTCTTGCACCACTGGAAGTTGAAAAATTCTGCAGAGAGGAAAGGAAGGGGCTGTAGTAGAAACAAGCAAAGCTCATTCCCTGGAGGGCCTCCTGAAAAAGGGTAATTGCCGGCCTTAGGTCGGCTACCAAAATAAGTAATTTTCCTCCCACCCTCAGAGCTTCAGTTGCTCTTTCACTTCCCAATTCCACAAGAGCACTGGGCGGCAGAATTATGGAGAAGCGCCTGCAGGAGGCTCAGCTGTACAAGGAGAAAGGGAACCAGCGTTACCGGGAAGGGAAGTACCGAGATGCTGTGAGTAGGTACCATCGAGCTCTGCTTCAGCTGCGGGGTCTGGATCCAAGTCTGCCCTCCCCGATACCTAATCTAGGACCTCAGGGCCCGGCTCTCACACCTGAACAAGAAAACATACTGCACACCACCCAGACAGACTGCTACAACAATCTAGCTGGTAAGAACAGGGAGGAAGGGTGGGTAGAGTATCCAGGCAGGTACACGAAAACCTGTGAACATTGGGAAAAACACTGACGGACTTTTCTGCTGTCATCCAGTTATTCTGCCATGAATTGAAATGTATTTCTAATTTACAGGGCTCTAATTGAGTTTCTGTAGAACGTAGGTCTCAAACTTCTCCTGGAGAGTTTGTTAAACAACTCCTGAGCCCCACCCCCAGATTCCAATTTAATAGCTCTGAGGTGGTGCCTACCATTTATTTGCATTTTCTATCAGACTCCCAGGTGATGCTGATAGTTTAGGGAATTTTGCACCCAGTGGAGAAAACACTAAGTTTATATTGAGGGCACTTTAAAATAAAATATTTAATACACAGGAAAGAAGGCGCTTGCTTCAGCTGGTGTAAATCATCCATATTAGATGCTTTGGATAGCCTTTTCTTACTTACTGCCTACCTATAAATTAGCTGGATGGTAACATGGACAACTAGTTATCTGCCATTTCTAGATGGCCCTGGTAAAGAGATAGATGTCAAGAGTTATTATTACTAGAATGAATCTGCTAAAAGAAGGGAGACTTCTTAGGTCTATTCTATGACAAGCAATCTAATCATGGAACTAATTAAATTATTTTGAAGTATATTGAAACATTCTAACAGCCAAGGCCATTGAAATTATTAGTAGTTTCTACACACTGTAATGGTTCTTTAAAAAAAATTTTTTTTTTTACTGCAGTAGTCATCAGCTATAGTTTGTTGAAAATGTAGCGTTTTTACGGTGTGTGTCCAGCGCTACTCTTAGACTCAGGTAATAAAAATAGTAGTTACAGTAGCTAATGTTTAAATTCAACAGTTATTTATTGGGTGCTGAGGTTTCCTTTTTCTCATGGAACATGTCAAGGAAAGGAGATGGATAACTAACAAAAAAAAGTAGCATATATAATATTTTGAAAATGGTAAGTACTGTGGAAAAGCAATGAAGTGGAAAATGGGGATAGTGAGCACCACAGACAAGGGAGTGTCCACTTGTAAAGAGCGGTCAGGGACGGCTCATTGAGGTGTCATGTACGAAATGCCCGAGGCAGGTGCTGTTTAAGCCCTTTACACACATTAACCTGTTTAAGTGTCACAGCAACCCTTTGGGGTAAATTTAAGGAAACAGTCCAACAGCTAGTAAGTGGTGGAGCCAAAATTAAATCCAGGTAATTCTTAACTCTAAAACTTAAGTTCTTATTGCAGAATACTGCACATTTCCCTTTTTAGTTATAAAAAGGCAAAAGATAGGCCTCAACATTTCCTCCTGAACAGATTTGTATTTTGAGGTCCCATTAGAGAAAAGGACCAGAAATTAAGGAAATGAGATGTTGGAGAGGTGGGTAGGCGTCTTGGCTCTCCAGGTGGACTTGAGGGCAGAGACTGTGGCTCAGCCATCTGTAAAGTCTCTGCTTGCGGGTGCTTGGTGGGTGCTCCACTGAATTAACAGTTTTCACTTGTTGACTGCCTATAACATGTTGAGCACCGTATTTACAATATCTCTCATTACACAAAAATCCTACAAGGTTTTTATGATTATCCCCATTTTTGTAGAGAAGGGAGCCAGATCATTTCACTGCTTAAAGTCCTCCAATGGCATCTCATTGCACTTAGGGGAAAAAAAATCCAAACTCTGATCCTTACCCGCAGGGCTGGGCATGATCTGGCTCCTCCATACACTGAATTCTTAAACTATATTTCTACCTTCCTGCTCTGTAGGATCTCATCTTTGAGGTTAGAAAGTTCTGTCATTCAGATCTTGGCTCAAAAGTCACTTTCTTAGAGAGATCTTAAGTACCCAAGCTGCACTCTGGCTTCATTCACTCCATCTTAGGCTGTTCTGTTTTTCTCAAAGCAGTTTAAATAATTCATTTATTTGTTTATTGTCTACTCCTACTGCTTGGGGACCAGGATGCAAACTCTATTTACTCATCAAGATGGCTGCCTTGGTCCTCTTACCTCCCATTCCCAGCCCTGCCTCGCACATGGTCAGTTCTCCATAACTAGTTGTCAAATGAATGGATGAAGCTATAGTAATGGATTAGTTGATCACTAATCTGGGGGACTATCTAAGTATACATCATATGACCACGTGGTGGTGATATTGTAAAAGGGATGCAAACGTTAGCCCTTTAATGGTCTCATCAGCCCTGATTCTCAGTTCTTCTCAGCACCATATTGTTATAATGCCATGTTTAATTCCCACAGTTATGAAATAGGGAAACATTTCCCTTCTTAATTATAACAAAGCAGAAGATGAACCTGATCACGGCCTCCTTTGGAAGTATATTAAAGCATTCTAATTGTCCAGGTGGAGGCCACAGAAATTATTAGGAGTGGTTTTAAAAATCTGCTTATATCATATTTGCATGTTGAGGTGCCATGAAATCATCCAAGGGATTAGTGAAGAAATATATCATTGAGAATGATAATGCTTTTGGAGTCAGAGTCCTTGTTTCGAATTTCTTACTCATTCCATCTAGAAGCTGTGTGATCTCGGACAAGTTACTTTACTTCTCTGAGCCTTGATTTCTTCACCCATCCCCTAAATGGAGGTAGTAACACATATGATTTCATAGAGTGGATGGAAAAATTAAACAAGCATATAGCACAGTGCTTGCTATTGCCTCACATAATTTTTTTTTTTTTTTTTTTTTTTTTTTGCCTCATAATTAACGGCAACCACAGTTGTTAACAAAGCCGTATTGCAGTACAAGAATTGTGGTGAAGTGGAAGAGTCAAGACTGAGCCTTGGGTAGAAGAGACCCAAGCAAGAAGAGGTTTAAATAAATTTTAAAATATATTATCAGTTTCATAGCTGGGCCTAACCCAACATTAGGTGCACAGTAGGCATTTGGTAGATATTGAAGCGGATTGAAGGTATGTAAAGCTTTTATTCACCGCTGCGTCCCATGCTTAGAAGGAGGTCTGGTACGGGGCAGACACATTTATTTGTTGGATACATGAATGTGGTTGATCTCGTTCTATGTTTGGTGCTGCCTTGAGTTGCCCAGTGAGATTTAGTGTAATAAGGCCTCCTCCCTCTTCTCTCTTCCTTTCATTTGGCCCTGTTAGCCTGTCTCCTTCAGATGGAGCCAGTAAACTACGAACGAGTGAAAGAGTACAGTCAGAAAGTCCTGGAACGACAACCTGATAATGCCAAGGCCTTGTATCGGGCCGGAGTGGCCTTTTTCCACCTGCAGGACTATGACCAAGCTCGGCAGTACCTCCTGGCTGCTGTCAATAGGCAGCCAAAAGGTGAGAGAGAGAGGGATTGAAGTGGGAAGGACAAAGGAAACTGTCCTGTTCAGGGGGTGACTGTGGAAGGTGATTTTGTTTTATTTTACTTTGTCAATTTATTGAATTTTTTGAATAAGTAATAATGCATTCACATGGTTCAAGATTTAAAAGGTATAAAACTATACAGTGAACAGGACTTCTACTCTTATGTTCTTGTCTCCACAGGAAAGCAATCTTGTATACCTTCTGGAAATCTTTATGCTCAAACAGGCACACATGTATAACCTCCCCATTCCCCCTACAGTGAAAGAGATTTTAAAGCATTGTGTTTCAAGTTTCAGTTCCTAGATGGAAACTGAAACAGGATCCAATGAATACGCTTGATAATCCTCGTTTCTGCCAGCTCTCCAGCTGGGGTCTGGCTCTTGCTTAATCAATTTATTCCTTATCTCAGCTAACCCCAGATAGGACCTAGAAAAAGGCCCACCGGGAGAGAATCGGAGGCTTGGTACTTTGTTTCCAAGGCAAAAAGGATATTGTGAAGCAGGTCGGCATGGATAGGGATGGCTCATTGCTGTGAGATGCCTCAGCACTGACAATTGTCTCCCTTTTTGCTTTCTGGCTTAGATTCTAGAAGTAGAGGGTCCCCACACATTTATAACAGAGTAAAATCTCACTAAGTGAGAAAGCCACTATGATTTAATAAAGATATAAAATACGAGCCACTTGTCCTCCTTGCTTACCTTCAAGTACGTAGACTGACTGCCCCCCAGGAATAGTCTCTTAGCAGCTCTGCTGTGGCAAAAACTATTTCTTTAAACTCCTTTCATCACAAAATTAGCAACCAGCCCAGACCTGTACAGAGATTTTTCCAAAGTCCAAAGTGGTAGTAATGAGATTGACTATTGCATGGAAGAGTTGTGATGTATTCAGATCTTAGAATGATTAAAAAACAAAAACAAAAAATGGAAGCATGTTAACAACCTTCTCCTGCCCTCAGGTGAGATCATGCTCTAACTCTTTCTAATTACCTCCTTCGCCCTCTTCTAAGATGCCAACGTCCGGCGGTACCTCCAGCTAACACAGTCAGAACTCAATAGCTACCACCGAAAAGAGAAGCAGCTCTACATGGGCATGTTTGGTTAAGAGAGAAGAATGGTGCTTCTTCACTTGAACTTAGGTGAACCATTAAAGACCCATCAAGTGAAACCTGAGCCTCACAAGAGAAATTAACCCCATACCTCCGACCCAGGTGGATTTCTGTCTAGTTTCTAGTTGTGCACAAACTCTTAACTGCTTACACAGTCTGCCTTTTTTAGTTTGTCTATATATTTGTATAGCTTTAAATACATGGTATTCCTGGGGACATTTGCCCTGAGAAGTAACAACCAGAAAACATTCATCAGTGATGGGTGGAATTAACGACATCCTTGGCACAGACTTCAATGATTAATATTGTTGGATATATTCATGCACAGAGAGGACTAGCAGAGGAGGAAATGATGATAGAAAGGAGTTTCTTCCTCTCGTTTCCTCAGATGTGCGAAGCCAGAGTTACACAGGCCATAACTGGGCGATATATATCTTTTGTGAAACTAGACAATTATAACTTGGGCCCGTATGTCTTAAAATGAAAGATTGGAAATTAACTATGTTTGAGGAAAGTAATTCCTTATTCTTCTTAATATTCCACACACATTCAGAGTTTTTCCCCCTCTACAAAAGTATCTGGTTCCTGTTGTTTCTCTTGGTAATTTCTAGTTGTTGCTGTTGTTTATATTCAGCTCATTGATATAGTAGACTTAATTTTTCGTTAAACTCTTCTATTTAAAGATCTCTGGAGTCAAGTGTTTAAGTATTTGCTAACCCTTCAGCCGTCATGCTACAAAAACACCCAAATAAACATTTTAATTTTTAATAAGTGCATAGCTATAGTACACTTGTCTCTCTAAAGCACTTAGAAAGACAGATTGCTAAGTCTTCTAGGAACAATACCATAAAAAAGCAGAATGAAAACATAAATCCGTTCTTTGCCTGTCACCTTGTATTTTCCCAGAGCACGGTTCTTTTACAGAGGAGGAAAACAGTGAGGAAAGGTTCTCCTTTCTTAGTGCCTTTTAAGCCCTCTTTAAAACTTCCTGGAAGCTGTGTTGGGCCTGAGTTCAGGCTGCCGACCTGAGGCAGTCAGGGCTCAGCAGGGGGCTCCAACCGCGGGCGCTCCCCTGCCATTCTGCTCACTTGCTAGGAACACTGTCTGCAATGTGTGAGTCCTATGGAGTAGACGACACCGTATGGCACTGCCTCTGCCTTTATGAGTGGAGGTGATAACGATAAGCGTGTGTTGTTAGCCATCATGTAACCGCAGGCAGATTTCAGAAAGAAAAACCTTTGTCTTGCCAAATGTTCAAGTTCTGCTCCCTTTATCAGTAACGCCTTGTCTCCCAATGAACTAGGCTCCTCTTTATGTGTCCCCATACCCTTAAATAAGGCAACCATCAGCGTACAACAGAAGGTTTTTCTAATAATCTTAATGAAGTGCAAGGATAGAACTAACAAAAGTAGAATATTTTATTCTTCTTCCAAGTCTCTTAAGTTTCTAAGTCTAGATTGTTGACAAAATTTTGTCACCATTGCATTTTTGGTTTGTTTTGGGCTTGTTTTGCTTTCTGATTTTGTGTGTGTGTGGTTATTTTTCCCCCCAAGACTTAATGTTATAGTGAGCTATCTTCTGCATCAATGAGGAAAAAATAAAACTGATATTTAAAAATGAATTTTAGAAATTTATTGTACTCATCCTTTTATTAGCGCGGCTAAGAGACCCAGTGGCCAGACTCACATTCCCAGCTTTATTTCCAAGGCCAGCTCCTAATGGAGACATTAACGAACAGGAAACCGGACAACGGTAGGCAGTCTGCTTGGGTCTGAAGGTCTGGCAAGCCCACAACCTGAAGGCATCATCCAAAGGGTACCAAAATCTCCGTACTGAGGAGTTTGTGGAGCAGGAGGCTGCTCACCTTACCTGTCCTTAAAGGTTTCCACACAGGATTTCAGGGTTTGAGTGAAGAGAAGGCATTCATGGCAGATGTGAAGGTTTATGGCACATAGGAGACAGTTTAGGACGGTGTTTTCTGAACTCAGACTCACCCCCTTTACAATTTTGCCAAAACCACATACTTCCTATACTACTGTTTAAATGGCGTTTAAATAATGTATTTTTAAAGGACCCTTTGGACACAGGAGTATGTTAGATGATACCATGGGGATGTAAATAGCAAACTCCAGACTCTGAAACCTTACGATGAGTAACTCAATTTCTTCAATGAGTAGATCGCAAAGAAAAAGAGAGGGGAACCTATGGAGTAAAAGAGGCTTAAGAGATGTCAGCCAAATAAACGTGACTCTACTTTGGATTCTGATTTGAAAAAAACAACTAAAAGCTTATGAGACTGAAGTAATAGGTGAAAAAAAACTATCTATATATGTCTCTTCCCAGTTCTTGGCACAGTGTCCCTAAACACCTTGGAATTAGGATTCTGATTAGAAAAAGCAAAAGCTTATAAGGTATCCTTGGCTAGGTGGTTCAGTTGGTTGCAGCATCTTCCCATACACCAAAGGGTTGTAGGTTCGATTCCTGGTCAGAGCACATACCTAGGTTTCAGGTTCAGTCCTAGGTCAGGGTGCATTTGGGAGGCAACTGATTGACATTTCTCTCTCACATTGGTGTCTGTCTTCTCCTCTCTCTCTAAAATCTACAAATATATCCTCAGGTGAGGATTAAAAATAGAAGATTATGAGACAGGGAAATTTGAACAAGAATTATTGTCAATTTTTCTGGGTATGATAATGTATTTGGTCTCCCCCTCTCCCCATGAGTTCTTACAGAAATGCATACTAAAGTTGCTTACTAATAAACTGAGGTGACTTCAGAGTACATCATATCATTTGCCATAAATAAAATATATTTTACAAGAAAAACAAGTAAACCATCTTTGTAAACATCAGCTTCAGAAAAATCAAAATCAAAATCCAACAGGAAATGGGCTGAATTGGTGAACTTTGTAAGCTGAGCTTGGCCCAATGCCTGGCGATTGAAAAGGCATTAGCGCTAAGTGAAGGCACACTTACAAAATAGCCAATTAGGAAAAGAAATGAAGTCCTAAACTAGAAATAAGTCTTTAATGCTGGAAAAGAGTGGCAGTCTGAAAACAAAGTCAGCATATAGCTCAAAAGCAAGTAACTCCTCTGTGTGGAACTCTTCATAGGCTGCAGCCTGGCCTGTCCTCTCCCATGGAAGGAGGCTGATTTTGGGCTCAGTAGAAGGAAGTATTGTCCAACGATTAGAGCTCTCCAACAGTAGCAGATTCCTTTGGGGACAGCCAGTTCTCTCAAACAGGGATGACAACTGCCAAAAGGAGGATCAGTGTTGGACTAGAGGTTAGACAAGCTGACCTGTGGTTCCTTGAAACCATGGATGGGACCATCAAAAGCAATGAAAATTCTAGATAATTCTCTTGACCACACCTCCACAGACTGACATAAACTTTACCTAGCATCCAGCAGATAGATACAGTGAGGCAACTGTGACATTATTTGTGTTGGCTGCTGCTTTAAATATATTGAAAATTCCCAATTGCCACCTCTAATGAAGAATGCGTCTCACATCTAAAACTAACACTGTGTGCTGACTATAATTTAAAAAAAAAAAAAAAGGATGCATCTTATGCTGGGAACTGAAAGCAAATGATTACTCTTCCCGAGAACATCACCGAGTAGCAGATCCTCCTTAGCTAGGTATTAAAGGTGGCTGAGACACTAACAATGGTTATGGTTGGGTGCTCTCCAGGCTGTCCAGGGAAATTATATACATTATATACACATGTGGACACATAATGTCTTCTTTTAGGAACCCACGTTTGAAGGCAACCAATTTCTTTTTTTTCCATGTGTTCATGGTATGTATTACATACCATAAAATTCACCCTCTTAAAAGCAACTGATTCTTTTTAGGCATTTTGATTTACTCTAGGAAAGACTTTGGAAATGGTGCTCCACTTATCTAGAATAGTTTTGTTTTTTAAAGATTTTATTTAGCCCTGGCTGGTGTGGCTCAGTGGACTGAGTGCCGGCCTGCAAGCCAGAGAGTCACTGGTTTGATTTCCTAGTCAGGGCACATGCCTGGGTTGCGGGCCAGGAGGGGGCGTGCAAGAGGCAACCATACATTGATGTTTCTCTCCATTCCTCCCTTTTTCCCCTCTCTAAAAATAAATAAAATCTTTTAAAAATTTATTTATTTTTAGAGAGAGGGGAAGGGAGGGGAAAAGACAGGGAGAGAAACATCAATGTGTGACAGAAATATTGATCAGTCACCTCTTGCAGGCCCTCAACTAGGGACCTGGCCTACAACCCAGGCATGTGCCCTGACCAGGAACTGAACTGGTGACCTTTCAGTTTGCAGGCTGGCACTGAACTCCCTGAGCCACACCAGCTAGGGCCAGAATAACTCTTATTATATGTATATATGTGTATCTTGCTTTGTTTCACTAAAGAGTTAAGGCAATAATGTATCAGTATAAATAAAAAAGCCTTTTGAAAGATAAACAAAAGGTTGTTCCAACAGAAGGAAAGTGAAAGGTGTAGAACTCGGCTCTTTTGGCCATGAACATGTTAAGCATCAACTTTTACTTCCCATCATACTCCAGATAAGGAGATTTCTTTGGCCAAATCTTCAATACTCAGCTCTGTCTCCTTCGTAAAACTCAAAAACAATAGCTTGCTAGTAAGAATTCACAGCGCTGATTATGACAGACAAATCCAAAAACAGAAAAGAGCCCTGGCAGGTGTGTCTCAGTGGACTGAGTGCCGTGTGAACTGAAAGGTCACCAGTTAGATTCCTGGTCAGGACACACGCCTCGGTTGTGGGCCAGGCCCCCACTTGGGGGCGTGTGAGAGGCAAGTGATAGATGTTTCTCCCCCTCTCTTTCTCCATCACTTCCCCTCTCTCTAAAAAGTAAATGAATAAAATATTTTTTTAAAAAAGAGAGGACAGCTTTAAAAAAATATACTCATTTTCACCTTTTTCTAAATTTTCCTTCCTGCTTTTTTTGGACTCAGTTCCTCATATGCCAGAGAGGAGGGTCTGCAGGGAGCCTCGAGGCCGCCTGCAGCAGCACTTCTCACCGGACTGGGCCGGCCCCCCCTCACTCCTGAACTCTTCCCCTCATCCTACCTCGACACCCCGCACTCCCGCCTCTCTGCCATCTCTGTGGTCAGTAATCATCTGTGTGACCGCAGAGCGGCAATTCGGCCTCTCTTGGTTGTCATCACACTTTTTAAGTGTGATTCTCTCACCTGGAGCTTCTTGCTTTAGTTTTCCCAAGCACCCATCTTTTCACACCAAAAGCCCTCCACCTCCCCCAACAAGGCTTAGTGCTTTCCGCCTCTCCGTTTCCCAATTTGAGAGACCTCGATGTGCATTTATGTCATGTAGGCTCACATTTCAAGTCATCAGTACAGTATCTGTTTTTGACACAGACAACCAAAGGTCTTTCTATGTGGAAAACAGAGGTAAAGGGGTAAGGACGCAAAGCCAAACAGTCAAAAGGACAGAAAACAACTCCTAGTTCTCAGTGAACTATGTACAGTAATGGTTTAAACCAGCATAATGAACGTGGTGTTTTAAGTCACAAGCCATGGTTCAAATTCTGGCTTGCCCCTTAACTAGCTCTGTGACCTTGAACAAGTTAACTTTGATTTTTGAATTTCAAGTTTTCTTGCCAATGGGAAAAAAAAGGGGAGCCAACACCTCTTAAAGTTGTTGAGGATTAAGTATTTATATGAAGTCCCTAATACAGCCCAGTACAATGAGCTATCACTACAATAATAGACCATCATTGTGTAAGATTCTCTAATTTATATACTTTTCCTAAGTAAAGTGTACATTGCCTTCTGCCTCTCCCTATCTTTCCTCATAGGCAACTTGATCACCACCCCTACCCCAAGTACAGATGTCAAAATCTTAAAAGAAATAGAGGAGAGATATGAAAGAGTCAGGAATCATGCAGGTTTGTGGAAGAAATCAGCCAACACCAGTGCAATGAGATACTTTCACTGCTAGCTTTATGGTCCAGAACACAGAGTGAGAAGCAAGTACACCCCAGGAAAATCCCCAGTGCCCTTGCAGAGGAGCTGACTGAGATGCTCTGCCCTTTAATGTCCTGCTAATTGGCTGGGTAAGGAAAAGGGCGGGAGTAACCTTCAGCCTGGGCAGAATCCACTCTGTCACCAAGCAGGGGAAATGAGATGCTTCCAAACTTCTGTGCTGCCCCAGTGATGGCAAGACCGGGCCTAGCATCAGCTCATGTTAGTTTTTGGGGCCAAGTACAAAATCTTTGGGTGGCCCTCCACCAGAATTCTGTCTGTCTGCTGTAGGGGAGCCAGGGAGGGGCTGCACTCCGAGGAGGGGGCCGGCCTCTGGATCCGGTTTGCTGCGTTTGGCCAGGTCCTCATTGTGAGCCTTGCGGATGTGGCGGTACAGGTCCCCTGACTGTGTGTAGCTACGCAGGCAGTAACGGCACTCATAGGGCCGCTCACGTGTGTGTACTGTGGCGTGTCGCCGTAGTGTGTAAGAGCATGAGAAGGTCTTCCCACATGTCTTGCAAGTTGGAACATCCTCAGTAAAAACACCAAAGCTTCCTGGGGCTGCTTCATACTCAGAAGGCAGGTAAAGTGGCTCATGCAGCGCTGGGGGTGCAGGCAGGGGTGAGGTCACCAATCCTCGCTGATACTGCCCTGGACCTGGCAGCAAATGGTAGGGTAGGTGAGGGTCTGGGGGCAGAAAGTGGTCACTTGGCCCCACCTCCTCCAATCCTGCTGCCCTTGGCTCCTCAAAAGCCTCTGGCTGGGGGTGCTGTCCACCATACACTGCCCCTCCAGGTGGGAACAGTCCCTCAGGCCCCTGAGGCTGTTCCTCTGACACATCAGGCTCCTCATCGGAAATCACAATAGCTTCTACTTTCACTTGGACCAGCTCAGCTTCCGCTGGGGCTGGAGCCTGGGATGGAACTGGGGCTGGGACTGGGGCTGCAGCCGAAGCTGGGGGATAGAAGCCTTGCAGTGGTGCTCCAGTGCCCCTTGGTTCCACCACCCTCAGACTCTCGGAACCCACATCAAGGGGAGCCAGTGGCTCCACCGAAACTGTTGGGAGGCCAGGAGAGAAGTAGTTTGCAGGAATGGTCTCTGTGGAGCTACTGGGGCTGGCAAGGGAGATGTCAGCCACTGGTGGAGGAGGTGCCCGTAGATGCAGGGAGTCAACCTCCACTCCAGGCTGTGTAGTGTCAGCCCCACCGGGCACTGGTGGCTCATCTGGAGGACATACGGGAGGTGAAGGAGCTGCAGGTCCTTTCCATTCCCCTTTGCCCCAATGGCCTGATGTCTCCGCTGATGCCAATGAAGACTGAGGGCCACGGGGAGTGTTGGACAAAAACTCCATACTAGGGGGCTGTGAGCTGGTTTCCTCCTCCTTCTTGGTACTGTCTGCTTCTGCCAGGGCCCGGGCTTGCAGCCGCCGCTTACACACCTTGACGATATCATTCATGTGCAAGTAGCTGGCAGCTGCCAGCACGTCTTCCACAGGGGTATCTCCCCTCAGGACCAGCTGGCCAGCATACATAAAGTCTAGAAGCAGCCCAAAGGCTGGGGCCGTGACAATCTCGTTGTGGATACACACCAGATCTCTCTTGTCCAGCTCCCGCTCTTTGTAGAAAAGCTGGAAAAATGGACTGCAGGAGGCCAGCACAGCCCGATGGGCCAAGAATTGGGTGCTACCCACCATCACGGTGCAGTCACAAAGAAAACCCTGGGACCGCTGTTCTCGGAGGCTCTGCAGCAGCTGCTGGCTGTGTTCTGGGAACTCCATAGCACCCCACAAAGGGAAAGCCCCTAGAAAGATCCCCACCAGTGGTTCCCTGGGAAGAGAGGACAGTGAATTAGGGCAGGTAACCTCCCCAGAAACCTTAACGATAGCCCTGAACTATCACTGGCCGTCCCCAAACCTCTGGCAACACTGTCCTGGCCCCAACATGCTTGCTTAAATTACTATCCTTTTCTCCTAGGTCACACCCAGTGGTCGCTATTTAGCCCCGCCCCCGTACTTAACCTTAGCAGCAGGCCCCTCCCAATCGACTAAAACCCCGCCCCGGAAGTCCCGCCCCCTAAGCAGCCTCTGCTTCCTCGAAGCCCATCCGCTGGCTTCCAGCAGCTCCTCCACCTAGGAATCTCTTTTGTCCCCAGGCCTTCCCGGGTGGTACCTCTACGCCCCACTCCGGGAACTCCCTGAGCCTCTCTCTCTCGCATTCCAGGGGATAAGAAGTCCTAGAGTGGAAACTAGAAGAGAGAGCTGATCCTTCACCACCACCGAGCAGCCACTGGGCGAACTCCGCCCCTTCCCACCTTCTCAGATGCAACGGGCGCAAGTTTGCCTTCTCTTGTCACGGATTGGTTCACTGTCCATTAACCGTCCCCCGTCTTTGAGCGGCGTTTCCAATTGGGTGCGGGTGTCCGTCGCTCAGGCAGCTAGGCTCCGGATTGGTTGGCGTTCCTGTCCTAAACTTTTCTCCTTCGTCCCTCCTTCTTTGCTTTAGAGTCCTCTGGATTGGCTGAGCTTCTGCATCTACCTGAAGCTTTAGGGAGCTGAGAGCAACGACCTCACAGCGGGCGCGCGGCCATCCACTTCGCAGACTATTGTATTGTGTGTGTTAGCCGCAGGATGGCCGGGGAAAAGAGAACCAACAAGCTGGTGTGGTACTCAGGAGTCCCGGGTTTTTAGATCCTGCTCTCCCCTAACCAGGGGCAGTAGCAACACCTCTCTGGACTGCAATGGTCTCTGTCTCTCTCGAACTGTAATTGTCTCTTGAAGGTTCGTTACTGTGTCGTTCCCGGCAACCTGATGGTTCCGGCTTGTGACTCAGTAACGGTGGTGTCAAAGAACTAGCAACTGCGTAAATGCTGTCGTCGACCTTAGCCTGAACTCTGTAGTCAACGTACAATGAAGAGATTAGAGTGCCCTCCTCTGTCTGGAACATACTGAGCAGGTGCTGATGGGAGGGGAGGGAGTGGGCTCAGGGCCCTAAAATCCCCTAGGACAGGAGAATAAAGAGTACGTGTACTTTTAAAGAAATCCTTGAGAGTCCCTAGAAAATCAAAGAGAAGGATTGTAAGTTGAGAGTTAGTGATACCTGCCTCTTGTCTGATCAGAGCAATGTTGTAGACAGGGTCACCAGCGGATGAATTCAGTGCCCGTAACGCAGTACGCGCCCCTTCACCCTCCGCACTAAGCATCTCCACTTTGTTCTGCAGCCAAGCCTTCCAATCAGCCCTAACCAGAATTAGGGGCGGTTCATCCACCTTCCATCCTTGTACTAGAGACACAGTGGCCTCAGCTTGAGACCCCATCTCTTCAAGATTGTCTTCCAAGCCATACAATATTTATTGTATGGAAATTAAAACGAACATAAGTAACACTTTGACTTTTTTATGGAAAATTACCAAATTTTCCGAACCCAAACAAAAAAAACCCCCAACAAAACCCAAAACAAATAAAAAAACCCATGTAGTGAAAATAGTGGTATTGTTTTACATTTTTTCCAAATTCCTTTAATGTCTGTCTTCATATAAGACAGCAGGCTTCTGTTTTCAAGCCATTACAAGATATTGTTTTGATTATATGAGGAAAATCTGGCCTCACACAAGTTGGGTAGGCATGGGATTTCATTGACCACAGTGAGGAGTTTGTATTTTATTCTTAGTGTAATGGGAATCCATTAGTGGGTTTTAAGCAGGAAAGTGTTCTGATGATTCTTGTTTTTAAAGGCTTATCCTGGCTACTCTGTGGAGAAAAGTCCATAGGAGGTCAAAGTAGGAGCAGGGAGGAAGCGGTGGAAATGGTCCCATAAGAAATGGTGGTGGCTACACAAGGGCAGTGGCGGTGGAGCTCAAGAGAAGTGCTGAGACAACAGAATTTGCTAAAGTTAAGATAGGAGAGAAGGGACAGGAGAGAAAAAGGAGTCAAGGATGGCCAGACTTTTAGCATGAGCAATGGTGTGGCTGACGGAGCCATCTTCTGAGATGGGGACAATGGGGAGGAAAACGCAGAGTTCTCTTTCTGACCTTTTATGTAGAGATTCCCTTAGCCAATTAGATTTGTGAGCCTGAAGATCAAGGGAAACGTTGGGGCTGGAGAGATACATGTTGGGAGTGCCTTCGACATGGAGATGGGATTTAAAGCTGGGGACTGGAGAGAAAACCCCTTGTAGGGAGGAGGGCTGCTGGAGTTTGCTAAGCAGTAAGGAGCATAGGCTGTTTGGGAAGCTAAAGCAATGGTGTTTCTGTAGTTGCAGAAGGGATCAGATGAAGAAGAGATTGAGTTTGGACACAAAGACTGTGTGCTTGGCAATCTCTGGCATTGCCATGCATACTGGATCTAGATATTTAAAGGCTTTCTTCTTGAAGATTTTATTTATTTATTTTAGAGATGGGAAGGGAGGAAGAGAGGGAGAGAAACAGAGATGTGCAAGAGACACATCAATTGGTTGCCTCTCCCAGGCGTCCAACTGGGGACCTGGCCCTCAGCCCATGTATGTGCCCTGACCAGCAATCGAACCAGCGACCTTCTGGTTCACAGGCTGGAGTTCAATCCACTGAGCCACACCAGCCAGGGCTGGATCTAGATGTTTAAAATTACAGCCCTTTGAACCTCTGTGGAAATCTGAAAAAGTTGTTCCCTCTCTGGTCAATGCACCCTAATGGCCACCACAGCTGCATAAAGCAAGCATGCCCTGGATTTAGGCCTCTCTCCCCGCCCAGGAGCACCATTAAGCAGGGCACACTCGGTGGCTTTGCCTCTCAAAGCTGGGTTACACAGGGCTACAGGACACCAGGACACACCTTTCTAGAGTACCATTCAGTCTTTTTTTTTTTTTAATAAAAGCTTTTATTTAGGGAATAGAGGTATTAAGCCAGCGTATATAGATTGTAGAACATGAAAACCTGTATGTGAAATTTAGAGCTAAAACCAAAGACATTCATTCTTATACAGTAACTTTACCCCAAGGAAAAAGATTTAAAAGCTTTGCTTCAATGTGCCTTTGTATTTGTGGAAATTAGAAAAATATCTGCCACTTATTTAGCATTTGTTAAGTGCTAGCAACATGCTAAAGATATCATCTCGAATCCCATAATAGCCTTGCTTATCCCCATTAAACAGAAGGAGACTGAGGTTCAGCTTGGTTAAGTAACTGGGCCAAGGTTATACAGTGAGTATAGTCAGAGCCGAGACTGAATCTTGGTTTATCTTTATAGCCACACCCCTAATCACTTTGTAGATCTGTCTTCCTAGAGTGTTCCAAGTGTGGTCCTCGGAGTTGTTGCAGTGCCGATGGTCAGAGGGTTTGGACTCAGTTGGAGGCAGGATTACCCTAGAACCAGGAAGAGGGGCTGGCGGGATGGATGATCCTTGCTCCAAGACCGCCCTCCAGGGGCTGGACCTGCTGCTCGTGTGTGAATCTTCGGGAGACAGGTGATGACAGACATCACCACAAGGACTTCTCTCTACTATGTAGGCTGACGAGACTCTCTTCTCACGGAAGATTCTATTTTCCAAGATGGCATTGAGATGTCCCCTCCCACACACTCATTGTACACTGTAACATCGATGCTCCTTCCGTCTGGTAAAGTCTCATCGGAGTCTGGGAGGGATTGCGATCTCCAAGGAAATGTGATGCTATGAGACTTCGAGGCTAAGTTATAATAGAGGATACAGCTTCCACCTGGTCCTGTTGGGATAATTGCTCCGAGGACCTAGCCACAATGCTGTGAAGAAGCCCAAGCCACACAAAGGCGCCACGTGTAAGTGTTTCAACCATAGTCACAGCTAGGCTTCCAACTAACAGCCAGAGTCAATTTCTATCCATGTGATTGAGCCACCTTGGAAGTGGATCCTCCAGTTCCAAGTTCAACTACCTCAGCTGATGTTGCATGGAGTAGGAATAAGCCTTCCCTACTGAGCCTTGCCCAAACTGTAGATTTGTGAGTTAAATAAATTATGGTTGTTTCAAGCCACTAAGTTTTGGGGTGATTTATCATGCAGCAAAAGATAACTGAAACAATTCTCGAATAAACTTCCTTTGTACTCCAAATTTCAGTCCAGCTGATTGTTCTCCATTGCTGTTATCTCACTGCTCTGGCTTGTCTCTGTTCCTGAAGCTTTGGAAGCAAAGGGATTAGGGCTTGGAGAGTTTATCATGGCCAACCCATGCCTGGAGAGCTCAAAGAGATAATAAAAGATTCATTATGCTAATGATGCTCAATCAATCCATATTTGTTAAACTCCATTATTTACCTAGTGCTATGTTAGGTGCCAGAGATTCACTCAGTGATGGAAAGAGATACTGAGCACACATTGTGTGCCAGGCATTGTTCTAGCCATTGGGGGTAAAGAAGAACACAACAGATGAGAATCCCTGCCCTTCTTGAGGGGGAACAAGCAATACACACTTATATAAATGAATGACTCCAAGTAGGAAGAAAATAAAACAAGGCAAAACAATACAGGAATGATTAGGATGGGGCTACTTGAGCCAGGGTAGTCATGGAAGCCCCCTTGACAGTGGGGATATTGAACTTATACCTGAAGGATGAGGAGGACACCCCCCGCCGCCCGTCCCCCACCGGGTAGGCCAGGGTGATGCTTGTACTCTAGTGCCTGGGGAAGCCATTGGGTTCTAAAGGAGGGGAGTGACACGGTTTGACTTGAGTTTTGAAAAGATCACTCTTGGCAAATATGCACAGGAAAAGATGGTCAACATCATTAGTCATTAATGAAATGAATATTAAAACCACAATGAGATACTACTACAGATATTAAAATGGCTAAATAAAACAAACCCTGCTGACGATACCAAGTGCTGGTGAGGATATCACAGCAACTGGAAAGCTTATACCTACACATACAATTATATTTACACCATACAAAATAGGTGTAAATAACCTCAAGAGAGTTGACGGTAGTACACTGTGGTAAAATGGTTAAGAGGTGATTAGTTTTAAGTATTTATTACTAATGATTTTGACTCCAATTACAACGTTTTCCCCTCTCCCCCGCACACACATCCAAGCAATTCTCAGACACCAGCTGGGTGTCCTGCAATTTCATTCAATTCTGATACCATCTACCTGGAGGTTTAAACGAATGCACTCTGCTAAAGCGCGTTATTTATGCCGCCTTTCACTAATTCCGCTTAAAAGTACTTAATTGAGCATCTGTTCTGGGCACGGTTAGTTTAAGACAGCCGGCGGTTGGATTGCTGGTCCCCAGGGAGGCGAGGAGCTTCTCGGAGTCTCCGGCCCCGCCAGCGAGGGCCAATCGGAGCCGCCGAGGCCCGGAAGCGGGGTTGGGGCGGCTGCGTGTGTTTCCGGTTGAGCGGGAGGCGTCGCTGCCTGGGATGGTGTAGACGCGGCTCCTTCTTTAACTCCTTTGGGAAGATGTTCTACCACGTGAGCAGGGCACCGGGCGGCGGCGAGGGCAGGGTCTAGAGGAGAAGAGAGGTGGGGCGCCGGGACGCGGGGCCGCTTCTTGCCCCGTCTTCCTGCTGTGCCTTGCCTGGTCTCCATTCCACTTTCTCCGCAGATCTCCCTGGAGCACGAGATCCTGCTGCACCCGCGCTACTTCGGTCCCAACCTGCTCAACACAGTGAAGCAGAAGCTCTTCACCGAGGTGGAGGGGACCTGCACCGGCAAGTGAGTGCCGCGTTCTCTGTGCCGACTTATCGATAAGCATAGGGCGCTCTAAGCTTGCAGCTCCTCCCCAACTCTTATTCATTATGCAAGGTCCTGACACCTACTCTGGGGCACCCTCTCACACACTCCTAGGCGCCCCAGGCAGTCAGCTGCTTCCTGCTTTAGGTTCCCATGGCGCCCTCTGCAAAGCTGGATCACAAGACTTTCTTCCATCATCTGAGATCGGTCATCATTTATTCCGCAAACATTTTTAAAGCCCCCGTTGTGTGTCAGGTACTGTGTTGGTCTCTGGGAACAATGCAGTGAAAGATAGAATGAGGCCAGCCCTGGTGGAGCTCACAGCCTGTCCTTGTGTCTGCTCTCCGTCTGTGATTCTGCTGCTTTTCTTTATTCCCCGTGCCCAGGGACCTGACATGGCACATCTCTGGGCTCTGCACCGAGAGGACTCTCTCATGGTGATGTGCATGAGCTGGGATGAGCGGAGGGCTATGGAATACTTGAGCCGTCATCACTAGAATAACCTGGGGTGTTTCTCGAACATGCAAGGTCCTGAGCCTCTCCTATCACTACATAATCTTGACTCTCTGGGAGCATGCCTGGGAATCTGTACTTTCATAAGTCCCAGGTGATTCTGAGGGTCTCTTGGCTCAAGGACTGGAGCCTTCTTGGACATTTATTGTGAAATCACGAGAGCAGTGTTCGGCGTTACAGATGCTGATTAGTGTCCTGTCTTCTTTCTTGGCCATTAAGCTTTCTGGGAGCAGGGGTGCCATTTACTTCCTCTTTGTGCTGTCCCCCTACCCCCAGGCTCACTGACTCCTGTTGCAGAGGGTTTAGAGGCTCTTTTCACACACAGTGCCGTTCTCTTTGTCATCCTCCTTGCAGGTATGGCTTTGTGATTGCTGTCACCACCATTGACAATATCGGCGCTGGTGTGATCCAGCCAGGCCGAGGCTTTGTCCTTTACCCAGTTAAGTACAAGGCCATTGTTTTCCGGCCCTTTAAAGGAGAAGTCGTGGATGCTGTTGTCACCCAGGTCAACAAGGTGAGACCATACAAAGGGGAGGCAGTGGGATGGTCACTCAGAAGATGTGGTATGGGCCCCAGCTTCACTTGCTAACTGTGTGTCCTTGGCCAAGTCACTTCCTTGTGCTTGTCTCACCTGTGAAATGGTATGGCCTCACCCTGCCTCACTGAGGGGCATGTAAGTTAATATTAATAGTCATAATGATAGTGGCCTCCACTGACTAGTTCCTGTGGGCCAGGTAATGTGAAAAGTCTCACAGTGACTCGGGGAGCTGGGTGTTTTTATCCCTTTTTATAAAGGCTTAAGCTTAGAGAATTTAAGTCTAGTGGCCAAGGCCATGCGACCCACAAGTGTTCAAATCCTGGACAAGTTTTGAGGCTCAGCTCGCCACTACTTTGCTATATTTGCTTAACTTAAAACGAAAGCTTGCAAAAAAAGAAATGAAAACAAATGCTACAATTCTGAGCGGTTTCAAAACCTGGAGCATTTATTAGGAATTAGATAAAGAGGGAAAGCTTAGAAGGCTTTTGATGACAAAAGAAAAAGCAAGGATCACTGATTTTCTTTCCAGGTTGGACTCTTTACAGAAATTGGACCTATGTCCTGCTTCATCTCCCGACATGTGAGTCTGGGCACGCTAAGTGGGGCTACGGAGAGATCCCCACTCATGACCACCCACGGGAGCATCCATTTAAAGTGCTGACCCAGTCTCACTTTCCTTTCAGTCCATCCCGTCAGAGATGGAGTTTGATCCTAACTCTAACCCACCGTGTTACAAGACAATGGACGAAGTGAGTGGGTAGGAAGAAGTCAGTGAGAGAAAGGAGGGGACGGGTCACTCTGAGGGAGAGTGTTGGCTGGGGGGGTGTCTGAGTATGCTGCCTCCTTCTCTCCAGGACATTGTGATTCAGCAGGATGATGAGATCCGCTTGAAGATTGTGGGGACCCGTGTGGATAAGAACGACATCGTGAGTCTCTTGCCTGCCTCCCTTCCTGTACCAGGCAGAGCCGGGAGCTATTGATTTCTTACCACCTAGATGTCGTGGGGTTTTTGTGCTCTTCTGCCATGAAGAGGGGGTGGGTGGAAGAAGGCCTGGGCCTGGGAGGGTTAGAGGACATTTCTGTGCTTGCTTAGGCCTCACTTCCTTTTTACCTTCTCTCCTACAGTTTGCTATCGGCTCCCTGATGGATGATTACTTGGGTGAGTGCCTGATCGTGCATAACAGGGTGGTTGCCTGGGGATGGGGTGTGTGGGAACAGGGGTGGAGATGGGATTTAATGCTTGAGTCACAGATGAAGGAAACTCTTGCCGTCTGCTTGGGAGATCCAGGACGTGGGCCCTTCGGGATGGGAAGTGCACCGTTTCAGCTCCTGCAGGCTCTGGGTCTAACATGCGTTTCCTCTTCTCCCTAGGGCTTGTGAGCTGAACACCGGTGCTTCCTATCTTGTTTGGTCCTTATCTAGAAGGTGTGATTGTTGCACTTCCCCTGTTGTCCAGACGCCTGGTCTGGCTGCTGTGGGGGAGATCAGGAAGGTTCCTTGTCCCAGAAGGCATCTGGCTCTTCTTGCAGGTCAGCGGCCACTCCCAGATTTTGACTGTGTTCTAACCATAAACGGTCCTTGGTTCTCATGGAAGTGTTATCTTCTTTCTTTGGTAAGAACAGCTCTTTTATAAAAGGCTGGGATGCAGTTGCTCTCTAGACCCTCTTTTCTTGGCCTGATGCCTCAGCCCCCCAGGGGACCTGACTAACCCTAATGCCAAGGGCTAAAGTTGACTTCATTGCTGAGAAGGTACTAATGTTGCGTCTTTGGCTTCCAGCAAATGATACTATCGTTAGAGCCATTCTGAGCGCCTGTCAAGTTTCCTGGTATTTTTCCTTCCCTCACCTTTAAAAACAACCAAGAGTATAGCTGGGGAGAGGTGAACAAGAAGACAGAAATGACAGACTGTGGGGTCTTGACTGCCTTTCCTAGGATAAGAACGTAAATGCCAGAGGTCTTTATGTGCCGAGCAATCACTACACTAAACTCAGCTGAAGGTGTGAAATGGCTCCTAATCTCCTTAGGGTCACACTAGAAAAATACATGAAATGACTACTAAATTAAACACACTACCCTCCCTCGCGCTCTGCCTTTGCAATGCTATTTGTCTGCCTTGGCGTGCTTTTTCCCAGCCTGTCTGCTTGCTGCCTAATCCAGAAAATCTCAGTCAGTTCTTTTTATTTGCAGCTTTCCTTGACTTCCTTGGGAAGCAGAGCTGTGCATCAGAAAGCTTGGTATTTGGATTGATACAGAACAACTTGGTTTTGGTCCTAGCTGGGGAGGCTTATGTTTCTTCATTGTAAAATGGGCATACCACCCTCTTTGGAGGGTTGCTGCCTCTGTCAGAGATCATACAGCAGGTCCTTGAGTAATGTCATTTCTTTCAGTATTGTTTTGTTCAGCATTGTTTCATTATAACATTGGTGACATTCCTTAGCGACTTACTTTTATGTCAATTAGTCTGTCATAGCGTTGGTTTCCTTATATGTCATTTTACTTAAAATTGCAGAGCCTACCAATGTCATTCAGTTAGGACTTAACTATAATGCAAGTGGCTGGCACAGAGCCTGGTCCATGATAGGCAATCAACGTAATCATAGCTACTGTTACACAGTGCATATGAAGCAGTGGCTGTCATCTTAGGTGATTTTGGCCCCAGGGGATGTTTGGCAATGACATTTTGGGATGTTGCAAGTGGGTAGGGGTTGTTACTGCCTTCTAGTGGGTATAGACCAAGGATGCTGCCAAACATCCCATGGTGTGTACGGCAGTCCTCCACAGTAAAGATTTATTTGGCCTCAAATATCAGTTTTGCCAACTGCCAGAAACCCTGATAATAATGATCTAGAATAGGGCTTGGAACATGGTAATAATGTGGGTCTCTTGACCTCGCCTTCTCAACTCCTGGACTACTAGAAGCTGTTTAACTCTGTAGTGGGTCAGAAAACATTATTTTGTTACTGTCTCCCTTTTCACTTTTTCATTAAAGTTTCAGTTGTTTTATTGAGATAATTGTAGATTCACATGCTTCCCTTTCATTTTTAGACCTCTAGCTCTCAGCACTGCGCCAGATTTCCAAGTTTGTTAGATCCAGGAAAGTTACTGTGCTGGATTTGTAATACATTTTTTAGTGGAAACAGTGTTAAAGTTGTGATTCCACATACTGTGAGTCGGTCACACAGGTTGTAGGGATTTTCTCCAGACCCTAAACACTGTGTGTCTCACTGAGAATAAAATTCTTCCCAAGTTTACAAATGGATCCACCCACCTGTAAACTGCGTCAGGGATAACCTGGAAGTAATATCAGGCCTAGGAGTGAGAGGCTGAGAAGCAGCTCATGGAACACGATGGGTGCTGCTAAGGATATGGAGTGTGATACCCACCAAGAATGCTGGCACTGTTTAGGGGAGGGTCTGAGTGGGGATGGCCTGGAGATGGTCTCCAGGACCCTTCTGATCTTTTATGGTTTGGTACTGGGCAGTTAAAGAGGTCTTAGATCATGGGCCAATAGTAATGGGAGTATCTGCTAGGTAACATGCAAAATCCTTTATACATCTTTGCACATATTACTGAATTTTTACAAGCCATGAAATAGGGTCTGTTATCCCATTTTACAGTTGATAAAAACAGGTCAGGGCACCCTGGCTGGTGTGGCTCAGTGGATTGACAGCCAGCCTGCAAACCAAAAGGTCGCTGGTTCGATTCCCAGTCAGGGCGCATACCTGGGTTGCAGGCCAGGTCCCTGGTAGCGGGTGTGTGAGAGGCAACCACACATCAATGTTTCTCTCCCCCTCTTCCACCTCTCCCCTCTGTCTAAAAAGAAATAAATAAAATCTTTAAAAAAAAAAATACAGATCAGGAAAATGAACTGATATACCTAAGGTCACATAGCTGGTGAGTAGTGGGGCTTCGATTTTTTTTTTTTTTAACCTGTCATTCTGACTCCAAAGCCATCATAGCTTCTGTCAGGCACTGGGTGGCTGGGAAGTCAGTGAGAGCTACCTTTCTCCCATTTGTGGCCATGCTTCCTGTAATTACCTCTTTCCCCTGGCCCCTGCCTCCACTCAGGTTGGGGGCAAATGAACCCCAACAGTTTGGATAGTTTTACAACATCCTACAGGCCTCTGGGCCTTACTCCTTTGATTGTTTCCTGCTTCCACGGTTGCCAAAGGCTGTCCAGATCAATGACATTTTAACAAGGAGATCTACCAGTAGCCTGGATTCTACTGGGCCAATCTCAGACTCAGGACCTCAGTCCTTCCCCTGATGCACCGGCGGACAGACACCCCAGTGTTCAAGCACAATACTACAACTACCAAATGACTGGAAAACACTCAGCAGGGTCACAGTCTCCTTAGGTTGTGTTACTATGGCAACTCCAATCACATCCACCTGGCTTTCCCAGCTCTGGTCTCAGAGGATCTTTTCTACAGGCAGCAGCATCTGCCCTGAGAGGGAAGAGTGCGGTTATTACATCCATGCTCGCTCACCTGCAGGAAGCCCCATTCCATAAAGAATAGCCCATGCAAACTACCCCATCTTGGATGAACATAAAGGAATTTACTCTCTGCCTCATGATGCATGAGTGAAAGTTCAACCACCAACTCTGCAAAGTGCTTTCACAGACACCTCACTTAATCTACAGTAACTGAGATGAGCATTACTACCCAGTCTGTAGATGGGGGAGGGAAATGTGGTTAGGTAATTTGCCCAAAAGTAGGGTTAGAATTTGAACCCAGGTTTGTCTGACTCCAAATACCATCCTTGATTCAATAAGCCCACTTGTTTCTCAATTGAGAATTGCCCAAATTTGGGGAAATGTGTGTGTGTAAAACCGTCAAGGAAGTCTGCGAGGTAGGTGCGGGCTTATATTTGGCTTATTCGACGGAAATACAAGGTAGGGTGTCCGGATGAGCAAAGCCCTAGAGCCTGGAGCTTGCACGTGGGGTTGGCTCAGTCAGAAGACCTTTCTGCTCCCAGAGAATACCCACCAGGAGCTTCATCCATTCTTCGGGAAGGATTAAGTGGCAGGTGATGTCTGAGAGGTAAGCTGAGCTCCACCAAGTGCAGGAAAACTAAGCCAGACACCAAACTCTAAAGCTTTGCTGCAGCTGCATAAATGCAAGTGGCCGGAAACGAAGGTGCAGGCAAGACAAGGGAATGGGGACGCTTTCCTTGAAAACACTTACTAAAACGTACACCAAGTTATAACACATCTATTCCCAAAACTCCCGAGAGCTGTTGCTTTAAGAAGTACGACTCTAGCGTCACGTGACCCGCAGGCGCCTGGATCTTTCGCAGCGCCTCCATAGTGGCCAATCGTGTGGCTGGGAGCCCCTTCGGGGGCGGGAACTTTTCAAGGTGCTCGCCGATTGGCTGAGCTTGGGGAGTGTGGGGCCTGAGGGCTGAGGGAGGGAATTAGTGTGAACACGGTGAGAGGGAGCAGCAGCAGTCGCTATCGTCGCCGTCTCGGTAGCCACCTTCGCCCGCCGGAGCCCTCAGGTGAGCAGGCCCGAGAAGGCCCAAGGACTCCCCGTCCTGCTGCGAGCTGTGCACTCCAACGCGCCTTAGAGCCCGCAGCGCTGGGTGCCCGCCCCCTTCGCTGACCACGTGACCCGAGTTCGGTAACCCCTGACCTCCTGCACCTCACCCCACCACCACAGGATCTAGGATGAGTGCAGCTGGTTGGGAGGATGAGCAGGACCGAGGCCGGTAGAGGTCAGTTCCCACGCTTCCTTCCCAGGGTGGCTGAGGATGCCGAGGGGAGGTCGAGGAGCGGGAGAGCTTGGTCCAAGGCCGGACTTCGTGGGTCTTAAAGCGGGCACAAACTAGGGAAACTCCCTCCGCGCCTTCAAGGCGCAGGACTCACGCTCCCATTTTACAGATGGGGAAACAGAGACTTAACAGTTACCTATTGGCGGGTCTCCAGCGCCAGGTCTCCGCGCTGGGAATTCAGGCCTTGTTTCCCACACAGCCCGCCGCTCCTGATGACTAAGAGCAAGAGTCCCTGCCCCCTACTTGGTGCTCGGGGGATGACCTTGGACAAGTCATTTACATTTTGCCTCTCTGAGGTTTGATTTCTTTGTCTGTGAAGTGGACACAGTGCGTACATAATAACCATCTCATTGTCAGGCATGGCATGTGCTTAAGAGAATAGCTTTTCTTTATTCATTTTTTTTCAGCGAGTGTTTATTGAGGTCGTATTATGTGCTGACACTGCGCCTGACGCTGCTAGGGATGCAAAGGTGAGCAAACAGGCATGATCCTTGCTGCCATGGAGCTTACAGTTTAGTGGGGAGGCAGGTGTTAATCAAAATGTTACCCAGCCCTGACCTGCGTGGCTCAGTGGGTTGGGCGTCGTCCCACAAACTGAAAGGTCATGGGTTTGAGTCTTCAGTCAGGGCACGGGCCTGGGGTTGGGGGCTCATGAGAGGCCACCCATCAATGTGTCTCTCCCTCTCTTTCTCCCTCCCTTCCCCTCTCTAAAAATAAATAAAATCTTTTTAAAAAGTTACATCTATAACTACAAACTGAAAACTGCTTTGAAGACAAAGTACTGGGACACAGTGGGGTCTGAGACTTCCCTGCGCAAGCGACGTTTGGACTGAGATCTGGGGAAGCACATAGGCATTCGCTGGACAAAGGGGTCGGGGGTGGAGGAGGGGGGTTCAGGTAGAGGAAACAGAATGTATGACTGTCCTCAGATAAGGTGTTTGAGGAAATGAAAAGAGGCCATGGGCAGGAATGCAGAACAGGAGAGGGAGTGGGAAGAGGTGCAGCAGAAGTAGGCACACATGCGGGTCCTTGGAGCCTGGCGCAGGTTCTTTGTTCCAAAGGCAGTAGGAGAAAGGCTGCAGGGAGGCCAGTAGGATGCCCAGTGGACTGAGGAACCTGGAGGTCACTGGTGACCCAGAGAGTCCTGCCAGAGGGGGCAGCGGGGCAGGGCCTGGGTGGGTCGCCGTGGAGCTCAGCCTTGCTGCCCATGGGGCTGATGCCTCACTCTGGCCCATGGAGACCTGTCTTCTCATTGTGTTGTGGTGGTGGGGTCGGTCGCAGCCCAGCCGCAGTTTTTTGTTAGGTTCTTATTTTGCCATATCCTGTACATCGAAGAGCAGGTTCCTACTTTTAGGCCTCTCACCCAAACTGGGGAAGACCAGGCACATAGGCAAAAAACCCAGCTCTGTAAAGCTTGATGGTCCCAGATGGCGTACAGGTCAGGCAGACCTCAAAGGAGAGCCTGGATTTGTCCTAGCAGAGAGGAGGGTGTCGGGGCTTTGGAGGAGCGAGGGCAGCAGACCCGCTGGCGCGGTGGAGGGGTGTGGACAGGCTGGAAGACACCAGGCCCCACTCACTGCGGGGAGGGATTAGCCTGAACAGCTGTGGGGACTTGGGACCAAACACAGAATGTTGTGCTGGGGAGCTTTTATAATCAGTGGGGAGGTATTGAAGATTTTTGAGCAAGGGAATGCTAGGTAAAGCAGTGTTTTCATTGAGATTTAGTAGATAGTGTTTGTAGCAAGAATCAGAAGGAAGAAGGCATGAAGTTTTTGTTCAGAATGAACAGTGGTAACGTCTTCCACTTGTGTAGTGTGTGGTGGCCCCTCAGTTTCTCGTGCATCGTCTCATTCTATTCCCGTAGCAACCCTGTGAGTTCGGGAGGGCAAGGGTTATCACCTGGACTTACAGTTTACGACACCAGTTGCTCCGACTGATGAAAGCTGTGGCCAAATTTCGCATAGGAAGTGGTGGGGCAGGGCCGGGACCCAGTTCTGTGGCTCCCAAGGCCAGGCACTTTCTCAGGTGTCACTGTTGCCTGCTCCCTGGCCCAGCTCACGTCTGTTGCTCTGAGTCTGTTTCCTCACCTGGAAACGCAGAGCCTTTATGGCTCCTTGGTTGGGGGTTCTGGAGCGGAAGCTGCAAGACTGGTTTAGGAGGCCTTGAGTCAAGCTCCTGGGCTGAGGGGGATGGGTGGCTTTTCAGACCTTGCCTCCCCACTCCCAGCTCCGCCGGGGCCATGTCGGAACGAGAAGAGCGGCGGTTTGTGGAGATCCCCCGGGAGTCCGTCCGGCTCATGGCAGAGAGCACGGGCCTGGAGCTGAGCGATGAGGTGGCCGCGCTGCTCGCGGAGGATGTGTGCTACCGTCTCAGAGAGGCCACCCAGGTACGCGCTCCCTGCGCCCAGTGCCCCCAACTCTGCTTGGCTGTCCCCTCCCACAGGGGTGTATTCACCAAATAGGCGGGCACCTGCTCTGTGCTCTGAGGGAGTGCAGCGGGGGCGGTCCTGCCTTTCCCAGGGCCTCCCTTCTAACCATCTGGGCTTCCTGCAAACAGCGCTCGCTGGGCTCTCGTGTGCTCCTCAAAACAGCCCCGCTGGGCAGTCCAGGCAGGTTCGTAGCCACATTCCGCAGGTGAGAAACCAAGGCCCAGAGAGGGACTGTGACATCTGGTGTTGTCTGCGTAACAGCAGAGCTGGAATCCATGCTTTCTGATCGTTGGTCTGGTATCGATTTCACCTCCTCCCCAGGCTGCCTCTCTGCACTGGGGGCCCCGCACACCCTGTTCCCTGTCGCCTGACTCTGTTCCTCCCCTCCCAGAATAGCTCTCAATTCATGAAACACACCAAACGACGGAAGCTGACCGTGGAAGATTTCAACAGGGCCCTCCGATGGAGCAGTGTGGAGGTGAGTGGGGCACAGGTTGCCGAGGGCCCAGCTGGCAGGAGCCCACCTCCGTGCCACGCTCGGGGCTGGCAATGCTGCGAGACACGGAGACCAAACGTGCACACGAGGAAAGTTAGAGCAACCGCAGGATCGGTGCCGGGCTCGGGCCCAGGCCCCTAAGGTCTGTGAGTTCAGAAAAGGGGGAGAGGAGGCCACAGGGGCCAGGAGGTTAGGGAAGGCCTCGGAAGAGATGGGACTTGAGCTGGCCCCTCAAGGGAAGCTTGGCTTAGACTGAGCCGGGAGGAAAAGAGAGGGCATTCTGGGGAAGGGAGGAGCCTGAGCACAGTGTGGGTGTTGGAATGCCCTGCGTAGTTGTTCTGGGGCAGGGAGTCCAGGGGAAAAGGTCATGTTTAGAAGACGGGTGTTTTCAAAGCTGGGCGAGTGTGAGGAAGAGGACCTGGAGCCTGCGGGGTGGGACCCAGAGCCCCGGTGGGTCTGGGAGGAGGAACCACATTCTGCCTCTTGATCCAGTGAGCAGTGGGTGCTTCAGCCAAGTTCCCAGGGATTTCTCAGCACTTCTGGACTTCTCTCAAGTGAGGTGTTCCCTGCCCGGCCAGGAGGGCGCCTCTTTCCTCCCTGGATTCAGCCAGCTCCCCGGTCCCCTTTGCCCAGGCTGTGTGTGGCTATGGATCCCAGGAGGTGCTGCCCCTGCGCCCCGCCAGGGAGGGCGAGCTCTACTTCCCCGAAGACCGAGAGGTGAACCTGGTGGAGCTGGCCCTGGCCACCAACATCCCCAAAGGCTGTGCCGAGACGGCTGTGAGAGGTGAATGCTGGGGTCCTCCATGGGGCGGGGACAAGGGCTGGGCTGTCAGAGGACTGGTGATGGGCTGGCCGGTGGACAGGGCACAACTCAGGGCAGGGGTGTGGGGCGACGAGGGGCCAAACTCCAGGCTGAGCTGTCTCCCTGCTCTGGTTCTAGTCCACGTCTCCTACCTAGATGGCAAAGGGAACCTGGCACCACAAGGATCGGGTAAGGCGTCCTGTGGGGAGCAGGCCCTCTGGTTAAACCTTCCTCCCTTGGGTGGTGAGGGTGGTGCCTCTGCACCCTTGAGTCTTGTCTTGACAAGTATTTATCGACACCTTGTTCTGAGTGGTCACTGGTCCCTCCAGAGAGCTCAGAGCTGGAGATCGGAACACAGACCTGTAACCAATCGTGATGCTGTGTGTTGGGTGCTAGCACACAAGTCTGGGCAGCACACTGGGGTCCCTGAGGGGGTGTGCTCACACCCAGAGTCCACTGAGCGGAGCTTGGGACTTAAGGACTGCATAAGAATTTGCCTGGTGGGAATGCGTGGGAGGCAGCGTACAGGGCAAGGAGGCATGGAGGGCCATGAGGCCAGGCTGCTGGGAGCGGCCGGCAGCAGCTCTGTGCTCTGGAGTCCCGTTTGAAGGGACTCCTTGGGGGGTGCTTGGGGGCGGTGGTTGCAGGGGAGCAGGCAGGGGAGGCCGAGGCGGGACTCGGCTCTCCACCCTGACCGCCTCCTGCCCACCGTCTTGCAGTACCCAGCGCCGTGTCTTCCCTGACCGATGACCTCCTCAAGTACTACCAGCAAGTGACCCGGGCTGTACTGGGGGACGATCCACAGCTGATGAAGGTGAGCAAGTGGGCCCCCTGTGGGGCACAGAGCCGAGCTTTCGCACTCCTGTGAAATCCTCTTAGGTGCCTCCTTCTATCTTCTCTGCGCGGACTGTCTGGCGCGTATGGGAGCTGCTGCCCTGTGTGGGGAGGTGCGGCACTGGGGCTAGTCCCCCGCGGGACTGACTGCCCTTCCTTCTCGGGGAGAGACCCTGTCCCTTAGGGGAACGGGCAGCTCAGCAGGGCCCTTCAGGAGGTTCAGGTGATCGGTCTCCCTACGGCTTAAGTCCGGAGCCCACCTTGGAGTGTCTGTTGACCTGGGGCTATGCGCAACATCACCGCCGCAGGACAGGCCTACTCTTCTGTCCTTTGTCCCCAGGCCTCCTACCAGCCCCTGCTGCTTTAGCCTCTGGGGCTCCCAGGCCCTGCCAGTCAGTCCTTTCTGTCTGGCATCAGATAAGGGCTAGTTTGGTGGTCTGCTCAACCATGTGGTCTCTGTTTTAGGGTTTTACATCCTCCATGTCTTCACATGTCTGTGGTTTTTCCCTTGAAAGTTTGGAATGTTGCTACCATACCTTTCTGCCTTAGGAGCTTGTCCTCCAAGCATGGGGCCAGGGCTGGGTGGGCACCCTGGGAGCTAAGCTCCTTCCTCACTAGCCTGTTGTCTGTGTTCACAGAGCATAAGCTTTGGGTTTTGATCCAGAGGAGTTAGGAGGAGCGGTAGTGGTTTGGGGCTGAGATAGTTTTACTTACTCACTCTAACATATCTTTTCTGCTTATAAAAGTAATGCCAGCATATGTATATCATAGAAGTGCTGTAATAGAGAAACGCACAAAGTGGAAAGTGACAGTCTCCTATGGTCCCACCCTTACCGTCTTTTCTGTGTATAAGCAATGATTACTCTAGCATAAACCAAAGTGGTGTGATCAAAGTGGTTAGAACAGCTGCTCTTCTTAGTTAAAAATACGTTGGTGGTGCCCTGGCCAGGGGGCTCAGTTGGTTGGAGCATCGTCCTGTAACACCAAAAGGTTGCAGGTTCGATTCCCAGTCAGGGCACAGACCTAGGTTGCGGGTTCGATCCCTGATTGGGGCACATACAGAAGGCAGCCGATCACTGTTTCTCTCTTGCTCTCTCTCCCCCCTTCCTCTTTGTAAAAGCAATGAAACATCCTTGGGTGAGGATTAAAAAAATATGTGTGTGTATATATATCTTGACAGTGACAGAAGATATGACTTTGGGTGGTAGGCACACAGTGCGACATACAGGTGATACATCATAGAATCATACACTTGAAATCCTGTATAATCCTATGTAACCTTATTAACCAAGGCCCCCCCAATAAATTTAATTAAAAAAGTAAAATGAAAAAATATGTTAGACATTTAGGTTGTATTCAATTTCTCATCAGACAGTGCCGTGTGCGGGTATGTGTGTGAATGGGTTTCTTTTATAGTGAGTTAAATGTCTAGAAGTAATTGCCAAATCAGGGTATAAACATTTAAAACTCTAGTATATATGTGCTAAACTGACCTTTAAAAAAAAAAAAAAAAATGTCGATTTCTACCTGGACCTGGTAGATCCATTGCCCTCTGGGCGCTTCTTTTTCAGATTGCTCTCCAGGACCTGCAGACCAACTCCAAGATCGCAGCGCTCCTGCCTTACTTCGTTTATGTGGTCAGTGGGGTGAGTGACCAGGCTGGGGCAGGGGAGAATGTTTTGTGGGAAGGGGGTGACCTAGCAACATGTAGGGCTCATGGGAGGTGCCAGTAGAATGGCAGCCTCCTGTGCTCCGTCGCGTCCGCCCCACCAACCCTCTTCTCCCAACAGGTAAAATCTGTAAGCCACGATTTGGAGCAGCTGCACCGGCTCTTGCAAGTGGCACGCAGCTTGGTTCGGAACCCGCACCTCTGCCTGGGGCCCTATGTCCGCTCCCTGGTGGGCAGTGTCCTCTACTGCGTCCTGGAGCCGCTGGCTGCCTCCATCAACCCCCTGAATGACCACTGGACTCTGCGAGATGGTGCTGCCCTCCTTCTCAGCCACATCTTCTGGTAGCTACTGGGCCGAGAGCTGAGTAAAGGGTGGGGCAGCTGCAGAGCTGAGGGGTCTGGAGTAGGAGGGTGGGATGAACGTTCTGGCTTTGAGGCCCGATGTTTAGAGCTTCCTTGTCAGTGCGCCGTGGCAGACTGGGATTCTACAAGTGGGTGACATGTGTGCCAAGGGTTGGTCCTTCAGCCTTCAGGTCCCGGGCACGTCACCCCTAGCCACCTTGTTCACTTACCCAAGAATGCCATACAAGTGCTCTTCCCACCATGTGCTGTGACCTGAATCACACTGGGCGCCACTGCCTCATCCCTGCTGACTGACTGTTGCTCCCACAGGACGCACGGGGACCTTGTGAGTGGGCTGTATCAGCAGATCCTGCTCTCCCTTCAGAAGGTCCTGGCAGACCCGGTGCGGCCTCTCTGCTCTCACTACGGGGCTGTGGTGGGGCTGCATGCCCTTGGCTGGAAGGTGAGGACCCTGGCTTTTCTCACAGAGCCATTAGAGCTCCCCTTTGTAATTAGAGAAAGAGTATTTGTGTGCCTTTGACCATAAAATGGTATGTGCTTGCTGCTGCTGTGTGTTGAGTTCTTGCCTCAGTGATAGCCTTTCTTCTTTTTTAAAATTCTTATGGCCAGGTTAATTAGATACTTGTTTTTTCTTTTTTATTTGCTTGCTTTTATTGAACTTATTGGAGTGACATTGGCTTACTGACTTTCTGCATACAAACATCTTATCCCTTCAAAAGTCCTGCATGGCAGGTATTAACATACCATTTCACAAATTCCTACCCATTCTGCTTCATCATGTTAAGGAACTACCCCTCAGTTCCTCTTGTATTGAGTATATTTTAAACAGGAAGAGGTAAGTGAGCTTGTCAGTACCTTTTTAGCATCTATACAGACTATCCAGTGATTATTTACCTTACTTCTGATGATTTGACAAGTTTTAGGAATGGATTTTTCTGCTGAACCACTTTTGCCTACCTGGCACAAATAAATTGTTTGCTGCTATTGAGGTTTTTTATTGGAATCACACTGACTCTGTTTAGTCAGGTTTTAAGAGAATTGACATCATTAATATTAATTCCTTTTGTCCGCAGGTGTCATATCTGTCTTTTTAAGGTCTTTCACTCTTTCAGGATCCCTTTATAACTTTCCCTGAAGAAAACCTACATATATTTTATTACATTGAGCCCTAGAATCTTGCTGTTCTTTGATGCTTTTGTAATGGTATCTTCTTTTCATGGTATTTCTTATTGGTGTATAGAAACATTTGACTTCTGTATTGATTCTGCTACTTTACCAAACTATCATTTCTGCCTGTAGATTCTTTGGGATTTTTAACATAGATCAGTCATATGTACAAATAATGACACCTTTATTTCATCTCTTTTAAACCTAGTGCCTTTATTTTCTTTTTATTTCATCTTTTTTTTCCTTGAAGATTTTTGTTTTTAGAGGGGAAGGGAGAAAGAGAGGGAGAGAAACATGGATGTGGGAGAGAGACACCAATTGGTTGCCTTTCGCAGGCCCCCACTGGGGGGTCTGGGTCACAACCCAGGCATGTGCCCTGACTGGGAGTCAAACTGGCAACCTTTGGGTTTGCAGGCCGGCACTCAGTCCACTGAGCCACACCAGCCAGGGCTCTTTTTATGCAGTGCTAGGACCACTAACCATTTTATATAAGATAACGGGCAACTTTTGTCTTATTTCTAACTTTAAAAGAATTGGTAATGACCTTTCCCATGTAGGCTATTTACTTTGTGTGTTTATAACCTTTCTCAGATCAAGAAAACTATGTTCTTAGTTTTATCATTAATGTTGAACTTTTATCAAGTGCTTTTCTAAAAGAAAATTTTAAAGATTTTATTTACTTTTAGGTAGAGGCAAAGGGAGGGAGAAGGAGAGAGAGAAACATCAGTGTGCAAGAGATACATCGATCAGTTGCCTCTTGCATGCCCCCAACTGGGGACCTGGCCCACAACCAGGCATGTGCCCTGACTGGGAATCAAACTGGCAACCTTTCAGTTCACAGGCCAGCGCTCAGTCCACTGAGCCACACTAGCCAGGGCATCAAGTGCTTTTTCTATATCTTTTGAAATGAATTGGTTTTTCTGTTTTATCTGTTAATGTGATTAATTGTATATAGAGATTCCCCCTGCCCTGACTGTAAAACTTATTTGCATATTTTTAAAGTCGTGCATTCCAATAATCAAAATCATTTGAACAACAAAAAAAATGGCATTATGATTAAACTGCATTTTACAACATGCAGGACGCCTTGGACCAGCTTGGTTTTTACTCTGCTACCACTGCATTCCCCTTAGCTGCTTCTTTCACCAGCATGCAAGTTGTTTTCCTTCCTTGCCAGCCAGACTGGTAGATGAGAGAGGCAGGTGCTGCTTTTGTTGTCGGTTTTCTTTTGAAGGCAGTGGATTTTTTCTCTGGTGTTTCTGTCTTCTTCAATTTCGACATCAAATTTCTCAATCTAACAGCCATACTGGGTTTGTCAGGCATGGCTGTGGAGGAAGATGAGTGAGCCAGAGTGCCAGGCAGGGGCTGAGATTTTCTGGTGGTAAACCATCTTTACATATATAGGGTAAACTCACCTTGGTCATGGTATAATCTTTAAAAATATCCAAAACATCATTGGATTAGAATGCATTTTCTAAAAACAGTTAAGGTCACTAAAATTTTAAAGGATTTATTTATAGTCATGAGTGAAATTAATTGTTTCTTCTCATATACTGTCACTTGGTTTTAGGGTCAGGGTTAGTTTGGCCTTTGAGGTAGGGAGGGAGAGTTTCTTTTCCATATGTTTTAATAAGATTGGGATGCTCTTTTCCTTGAATGTCTGTAGACTCTGTAAATTTTGGCATGCTCTTTTATTTTTGGTTATATTTTTAACTACCATAGTTATAGTATTTAAGCTTTCATATATCTTGAGTCTGCAGCAAATTATATATTTTTCTAGGAACTTGTCAGTTTTTCAACATTTTCAAATCCTTAGGCTGTGGATGACTAACCAAAGACTCTGATCCAACAAAGCACAACAAAAATGTAACCTGAGCCCTGGCTGGTGTGGCTCAGTGGACTGAGCACAGGCCTCTTAACTGAAAGGTCACTGGTTCAATTCCCAGGTGGGACGCATGCCTGGGTTGCAGGCCAGGTCCCCAGTGCGGGTTGTGTGAGAGGAACCACACATTTTCCCTCTAAAAATAAAATCTTAAAAAATAAACAAAACATAACCTGAGTCCCAGTTTAAATCTAAGTGAGGACAGTACTTGCCTATTGATTGTCTCAGGGTAGCAGTTGGCTAGCAGAAGACCCTCTTGGCCCTTATGCCAGTGATACAACCCATGCCAATTACAGGGAGGTCACTTGATATTGTTTGTCTTTGTACCTGATCTTTACTCCCAGTGCTTAGTGAAAGCTTGGGCATACAGTAGGTTCCAAATAAATGTTGGTTGAGTATGCCAGGCAGGAAATTTAGAAGGATTGAACCCTATCCAGTATCAGACATAAAAGGTCTTTCATTGGAAAGGGTACTGGAGCGGCAATAAGCCACAAAGGCCCTCACTGCATCCCTTTCTCTCCCTTCCAGGCAGTAGAACGAGTCCTCTACCCACATCTGTCCACTTACTGGACGAATCTGCAGGCTGTGCTAGATGACTATTCAGTATCTAATGCCCAGGTTAAAGCAGATGGGCACAAGGTCTATGGAGCCATTCTGGTGAGTGCCAGTGCCTTCCCGCCTCCATCCCCTGCATGAGCGCGCGGGCTTACGTTGGAACACTGGATAGACCCAGGTTCCTCCTAGTCCGTGCGTTTCCTAATCCCTCTGCTCTTCAGGTGGCTGTAGAGCGACTGCTGAAGATGAAGGCCCAGGCAGCAGACCCCAGCAAGAGGGGCCCCGGCGGCAGGGGGTGCCGGCGCTCGGACGACCTGCCGTGGGACAGCCTTCTCTTGCAGGAGTCTCCTTCCGGGGGCAGCGCGGAGCCGGGCTTTGGGTCTGGTCTCCCTTTGCCTCCTGGAGGCGCGGGGCCAGAGGAACCTTCCCCTTCAGTGACCCTGGCGGACATCTACCGAGAGCTGTACGCTTTCTTCGGCGACAGCTTGGCCACCCGCTTTGGCACGGGTCAGCCCGCGCCCACGGCCCCCCGGCCGCCGGGGGACAAGAAGGAGCCGGCGGCGGCCCCAGACTCAGTGCGGAAGATGCCGCAGCTGACGGCCAATGCCATGGTCAGCCCGCAGGGTGACGAGAGCCCCCGGGGCAGCGGCCCCCCGTCGGTCTCTGCGCCTGCCGCCTCTGACAACAGGCCGCTGCCGCGCGTGCACCGGGCGCGGGGGGCGCCCCGGCAGCAGGGCCCCGGCGCCGGCACCCGCGACGTCTTCCAGAAGAGTCGTTTCGCCCCGCGCGGTGCCCCCCACTTCCGCTTCATCATTGCCGGGCGGCAGGCCGGGAGGCGGTGCCGCGGGCGCCTCTTCCAGACGGCCTTCCCCGCGCCGTACGGGCCCAGCCCGGCCTCCCGCTACGTGCAGAAACTGCCCATGATCGGCCGCACCGGCCGCCCGGCCCGCCGCTGGGTGCTCTCGGACTACTCGCTGTATCTGCCGCTTTGAGGCGGCGCGTCCCGGTCCCTGTAAATAAAGCCCGCGCCCGGAAGTGAAGTCTCCATGCTCGTGGGTCGCGCCGCATGAGGCGGGGCTTGGGCGGTTGCTCTGGAGGCCGTGCTTCCGGGTGGTCAGGGAGCCATGGCGCTCCCCTGCCTGCAGCGCGTCGAGCTCGTGCTCTTTGCCGCGGCCTTCCTGTGCGGGGCCTTGGCGGCCGCGACTCTCACCCGGACTCAGGTGCGGCTGTGGGCGGGGCCGAGAGTGGGGTCTGGCCGAGTAGGCGGGGGGCGGCGCGCCTCTGGCTCCTCAGAGCCGGTGGGCCTGGCGGGCAGTGGCCTGCGAGAACAGGCACTCTGCGACTCTGCCCGCCCGGGTCGTGCTTAAGTCATCTCTCGCCAAAGGGACAAGCCTTCAGGAGTGTAACCAGCACCAGGCATAGCCCGGCCTGGAGGCTGCTGCTGCCTAACTTTACCCTGGTTCTGAAAAGTCGGCTGAAACCACGCCTCCGTCCCCAAGTCAGACACGATTGTGCCGAGAGAGCAGAGAGCGAGCAGAGTGTAGTGATGACGACCAGGCGATGGCAGGGATGACTGCAGACACAACGTGGTAATGACGAGCGATGGAGAAAGCGCTTGTGTAAACAAGCCGATAGTTTACGTCGTTTACCCAGCCAGGAAGTCTTAATAAACATAGGCACGTTTAATCCCTATAAGGTAGGCCCTAGTTAGAAAACGTGGGAGATAGTTTTTAGGTCACACAAGTTCTGGTTTTACTCTCGGGTACCTGCAGAGGGGAGACCAGAACTTGCGAGGGATCTCTGAAGCTCAGTGTGTTTTAGAACCACGGCCTATTTCCTGATCCTTCTGGCCACGGCAGGTTTGATTTCCCCACAGGCCCTCTTCAGGCCTGGAAAACAGGAACTGACACTGTGCAAGTGGCTTCCTAGTGTGGCCCTGGCCTAGGTTCAAGTCCTGGCACCTGCCATGAGCCTGCACGGAGAGGCACTATCCCGCAATCTAGGACTCGCCACCTTCTCTCCACAGGGCTCCTTCAGTGGCAGCTGTCCCCTGTATGGTGTGGCCACCCTGAATCGTTCCTTCCTGGCCTTATCGCGAGGCTCAGCCCCCTCCCTCTGCTACTTTGTGGCTGGGGCCTCTGGCCTCCTGGCCCTCTACTGTCTCCTGCTTCTGCTCTTCTGGGTCTACAGCAGCTGCATCGAGGACTCCCAAAGGTGACCGCTCCGTCCAAGGGCCAGGGCTGCGGTGGGACGAGTCCCACCTCAGCCACAAGGCTTGCTCTTTCTCCCTCCTCGCAGAGGCCAGACAGGGCTCCGCATCGCACTGGCCATCTCAGCTATAGCCGCCTTCCTGGTCCTAGTGTCTGCCTGTGTCCTTCGATTTGGCACCAGCGCGCTCTGCAACTCCATCCTCTCTCACAACACTACAATTAGGTAACGGGAGGGGGACGCCTGGCCCCATGGGGCTGACCACCTTCCCTCTGCAGAGGGAGGTTATAACCCTTTGTATCCAATCAGTTCTCAAAGGACACCTGAGTATTTGGGGTATATCCTCCCCTTTGTGACCGCTGTCTTTTTGACCTCACAGCTGCTCAGAAGCCCAGAAAATTCCATGGACACCCCCAGGAACAGCTCTGCATTTTTACTCCAACCTACACAACGCTGAAGTAAGGTCCTGGGATATGAGACTGGGTGGAGACCCAGGGATACACAGGTTCATAGAAACATCGGTAGTTGTATGGGTGCCCACCAGTAAGAGCTGAGGAGCTGAAGGGCTGGTCAGCCTGAGAGCAGGGAAGAGTGGTGTGTGGGTGCAACGGGAATTGATTGAGATGGCTCCACCCCTCACGCTCCTGTTTCCGTCTCCCACAGAACTCTTCTTGGGTGAATCTGGTGTTGTGGTGTGTGGTCTTGGTGCTCCAGGCCATGCAGTTGAAGTCTGAAACCACCCCATTCCGGCCTCTGGAGAGGGGGGACCCTGAGTGGAGCGCTGAAACAGACGTTCTGGTTGGGCCACGCCTTTCCCATTCCTGAAGAGGTGCCAGAGCGCTGCCTGCAGCCAAGCGCTCCGTGCACAAGTGCCTGCTTGGCCCAGTTCATGCTGGGAGCCGCAGTTTTCCCTCCAAGAGGGAAAGTTGGTGATTGGCCCCTCCACCTCTTCTAATAGCTATTTTTGTATCACAATATTATATTACTTTTTTCCTTCATCTTGGTACTGAGTTCTTAAAGACCTGGAGGTAGGTGGATGCAAGGAAAGAGTAAAGGCTGAACAGACAGATGCAAACTTAGAGGTACACTCAGGTACCTGCCCTCTGGGATGACTGCTTTTATTTGCTGTTCATGAATCTTGGGCCCCCCTGTGTTACTCCAGTGGTCACCCCATCCTAGGTTCAGTTTTTATTCCCCTCTGGGAGGGATGAGTGTCCTGAGGTTTTTTTCACAAGCTACGGTACGCACCCACAGTGTTGTCAAAGAGCTTCGTGTTGGGAAAGTGTCCAGCTTTGTCCAAGAGGAAGTAGAAGCGTCGGCCTTTGACCTTTAGAGGCAGCATGGCAGGGACTTCACCCCGGTGAGCCATGCAGGATACCTGGTTCAAGGGAACAGTGAAATGCCCACCCAAGCCAAAGGGGGCGTGAGTGGTGAGAGTCACCTGCTTCCCTCCAGCCAGCAGCATCACTGAGCGCACAGAGCGGAGGGAGAAGAGGAGACCAGCGGCGAGTACCAGGGTGCCTGCAGGAAGAGCAGATTGGGATGAGGGGTCTTCCCCGGAGAGCTAAGCACCCCCCTTTTAGTGCCCCATGAACAGGAGAAATGGTTGTGATGGCAGTAGCAGTTACTGAGCTCCTCTTACACCCCAGCCCAGGTCCTTTTGTTACTCATTCCTCCCAACAACCTTTAGATATCCAACCCCATTTTAATGAGAAAACAGGTCCAGAACTTAGTAATTTTCTCAAGGTCGCAGAGCGAGGCTGACCTCGGCCTAGGCCTGTCCGAGGGCGTGGTGCTCGGGAACATCACCTTCAGTGTCCCGCACCCCTGGGGGGGCGGGGCTGCCCACCCCTCCTCTTCCTGGAGGGGCGGGAGCCGCCCAACGCCCCCACCTTTGCCTAAGCAGGGAGGGCCATGCCCGACCACAACGCGTCCCCGTTCCCGTTGGTGGGATGCCAGCCCAGGCCTTACCGATGGCTCCGCAGCCGATGGCCAGACCGTAGCGCCAGAGCGCGGAGCGCACGTCCAAGCGGCTGCGGTCTGCGACCTCTACATCCGGAGGCCGCACCGGGACTGGGGGTGGGGCCAAGGCTGCCACGGACAGGGAGGCCCAGAAGATGCCCTGGCCGGCGCAGAACAGCCCAAGAACTGTGAAAAAGCGGCCCCGCTCGTGCTCAAAGAGCAGCACGTCCCGCGACGGTGTCGCCTCGTGCAGGGTACGACGAGCGGGCAGGTTCCTCACTGTAACCAACAGCCGCACCAGCCACCTTCGCCCAGACGCTGCCATGGCGGCTCGGCACCACATCCGGGGCGGGACTTCCTGTCGATGGGCCGCGCCCCGCGAGTCGGACAGCTGGCTTCCCCTCTTAACCATAGGGACGGGACAAAACAGCACACGGGACACAAAATATAATATCACTCTTTATCTTAAAAAGTCCAGAGCAGTGGTAGGGGTGGGGGATTCCGGAGTTAAGTACACAAAGCACCTCAGTCCTTCGGGTAGTTTAGTGTCAGTTCTACAAAGTAACCTTTGGCTTCCTGGCACCAATGAGGCTCAATCTTCTGAAAGTCTTGCAGAGTCTTCCAGAAGGTAGGGGAGGAGAAGGATCCAGGAATCCTCCCTCCTCGGTCACAGTCACAGGGTGGCCTCAGGTGGCCTCGGGTGGGACAGAGAGGAGACGATAACCTTGACAAGGAGGCATCAATATCCGAATACTATTTACAGGGGCCTTCTTCTGGGGCGCGGCTAGGGATCACTTCATGAACGCCACTTCCGGAATTTCACCCTTGGCCTGAGAAAGTGAAGGGTCAGCAGAGCCAGACACCCCCACCCCCAGATTACTCTGTCCTTTTGAAGGCCCCAGGGATCTTTCTGCCATTGTGCTCCCAAACTTTACCTTGAGATGAGTGAAGGCCTGGGCGGACCTGGTGTAGTCCCAGTTGTTGTCCTGAAGGCACCTGCAGTGGAAGAAGGGGCCCCTCCATTAGATACAAAATGCAGTTGCCCTGATCACTAAATGCCACTTCCAAATCCGTTCTATACAAACACTTCTCCACATTCCCCAACTGTTCTATACACTCTTGCTCCATTTATACAAATGAAAAATCAGTACAAATCCAAATGCTTATTAATGGTCTACTGCACACAAAGGAATATTAAATAGCCATCAAGAAGACTAGGTGATTTTTTATACTGACGGGGAAAATGTTCATGCGTGAGTAAAAAACTAGTTGAAGTACAGAGAGAGAGAGAGAGAGAGTGTGTGTGTGTGTGTGTGTGTGAGAGAGAGAGAGAGAGAGAGAGAGAGAGAGAGAGAGAGAGAACACACAGAAATTTTTTATGGACCACTTCTTTTTTTTTTTAAGCAATAAAAATGTTTTGGCTTTTAACATTTCAGGAGTACTCATTATTCAAAACCAGCCCTACCTCAGTTTACCCCTATTTGTACACTTGCCCAGCACTCACTTCTGGGACCACTCGAGGTTCATGCCAGACTGTGTGGAGAACGCCTGCAGCATCTCCTGCTGCTCTGGGGAGAGGGTGGGCACCGGGCTGGAGGAGGGCGTGGGCGCAGGCATGGCGAAGGCTCTCTGGCTCTCATCAGGGCTGGCGTTCCGCACGAACAGCTCGTCGTTGACGATGCACAGCCTTGGGGACAAAAGCACTTTAGACAGCAGAACACAGATAACCTCATCCAGCCTCATTCCTGTTCTCACTGACAGTTCACACTCAGATTCTAAAATACCTACAAGGTGCCCCTCCCACTCTTAGCTATTACCTTTTACCGTTTTACTGATACAGACTTTGAAGTTGCCCACCGAACACACCAGAATTGTATATTCTGCCCCAAACCATAGACCGCTCTCAGCTTACCCTGAATTGCTGGCTGGAACAGCAACAAACGTCCGTGTGAAGGCTCGCAAAGAATCCCGAGACTTCCCATCCACTGCAAGGTTAACAATGGTAATGACCCCTGAGAGTTGCTCACACTTTGTTTGCAGCCAGCTACTCAAATCACCGTCTTTTCTGACACAAAGAGCCCTCAGTGGGCCGGATGGGGATTATGTGTGTGCAGGGGTGCAGAGGTAGGGAGGAGTGTCAGGGGTCAGAAGGGACAGTAAAAACTGCAATTATCCCACTGATAAGAGCCTCTGTGTGCCAAGCCTTGCGTCAAGCACTCTAAAAGTCAGTCCACAGCACTGCCATGAGAGGGCTATTGCTCTCGTTTTTTACAAATAAAGAACGTGAGGCTCAGCAGTAATGTAACTTGCCCACAGACACACAGGACCAAGGCTGGGACAGCCGCTCAGACCTGCATGACTCCCAAGTCTGTGTCCTCCTAATCCTCAGGCTGCTCCCATATTCCAGACAGGAGAGACTGGTAGAGAGGGGAGGCCAAATGGCGTTGGCTTGGGGGCAGAACAGCAGGTGGTCAGGGAGGGGAAGAGAGGTGGCTGGGCAGCTGAGCGCTGAGAAAGGCTCCAGCTGGGAGAACGACCGCTCCGCAAATAGAACGTCAGGGACGCTCACCTTCTTTGAAGACTCCATTGACAGAAAAACACAGCAATGTGTTCTGAAAAAGAAGAAACAGAGCTAGTGTGCAGGCTCCCAGCCAAAACCTAAGTCCTCCTCACCTCTGAACTGGCCTTCCCCAGTTCCAGGCTGTCAAAGAAGACGTAAGTGCTTACAGTTTGGGCGCTTATGTCCACCACAAAGGAATTGATGTCGTGCTGAGTTTTGGGCAACTCGTTGAGGAAGGCAACAACGTTGAGCCGTGTGTGCTTCAGCAGCCGGAACCGCAGGGCTGCGGGGCGGAGGAGGAGCCACGGTCAGGAGCCGCCATGCACTCGGCTCCATGACCGATTCTTTCCCACTCCCTTCTCCCAACCCGTTTGGCTCACATCACACACTTACTCGGGTCTTTAAGCTTCTTCACATTCCTGCTATCCTTGAAGTACTCGCCCAAGTTGCTTCTGGAGAAGAAAAGGAAGTGGCAGTCAAGCACTGTGGATGCTCCCAGGCGCTAGCCCGTATTCGCCGAGGAACTCTCGACCCCAGCGGGCCCTGGGCTGTGGACGCACCGGGCGGGGTTCTGGGGTGTGAACGGGATGCTCAGGGAGCAGCAGGCCCCGTCGTGGTAGGCGTCCAGGAGCCGCTGCCGATTCCCGGAGTCATAGACTGCGTAGTACCTGTCGGGGAGACAAAGGGCGGCCTGCGCTCCACAGTCTGGACCCACAAACGTGCCCAGCAGTGCCCGCGTGAGCCGCGCCCACCCGCCCCCCACCTCAGGGGCCCTGGGATACTTACTGCTGCAGGAAGTGCAGGACCAGATTCTTGAGGGCTTCTGTTCCAAAATAGCTTCCCTGGAATCAGACAGGTATCAGGGCCGTGTAACCAACACTCGCCTCCCCACACAAGGTCTGCCTCTGTCCCCCTTGCTCACCTTGCAGGGTGGTAATATCGTGGGGGCGTCAACATCAAAGGCAATGGGCGGGGGTAACTCATGGCCGTCCTACCAAAAGGAAGTGAGAGTCGGGAGTGCAAACCAAAGGAAAAAAGACTGGGTGAGTAATGAAAGGGAAAAACTAAGAGTAAGGGGTGAGAGGTCAAGAGTAAAAGAGATACAGAATCCCAACAGATGCCATTTTGTCTACAGGCATTTTGGGGGGAAAGGACTGGCGCCTTTGTTGCATTCCGTTGTATTTTCAAAGGGCTCCACATCCCCAAGTTAATGGTCATACAAGCGCATGTTAGGCAAGACCTTGGTGAGAGCTGCTAGGCTTGAGCGTGGAAAGAGTCAGGAGCCCTCCCTCCCTTTCCCTCTCGCTAGAAGTAAATAAGTAACATCTTTAAAATAGACAGAAGGTACAGACTTACCAGGCGTAATAATTTGGGGAATCGTTCACGAATGGTGCTGTCAAGAACGGGACAGAAGTGAGTGACGCTTCAGAGCCACGGTGCCTCCTGGGCTGCTCTAGGAGCAAATACACCAACACCCAGGGACAGCCCATCCCATCTTGCTCTTTCTCTCCCTCCTCCCCAGCCTCTGAGCTCCAAGAAAAATGGCCCCACTCCCACCTCACCTGGGGCACCCAGAAATGACTACCTGGAAGGCTGACTCTCTTCTCTCTGACCCCAAGTGCCACAGGAGCAGCACTCGCAGCCCAGGCTTTAAGCCCAGAACTTCCTTCCCCTCCCTGCCCCCCTTACCTTCTACCTACTCACCTGTGCAGCCCCGGGAGGAGGGAATGGGGTGGGAGCCCAGGGGCTCCGCTGCCTCAACAGGTATCCATCAGTTCTGCCAGGTCTGGCCGTGGCCAAGACCAGAACACACCACGGGGATGGCACAGGATGTTGGGGCAGGGAGGTGAGCAAGGCACGGATCAGGAAGAGGGAAGGCCAAGGAATGTGCGAGGGAAAGAAAAGGAGAAGGGCAAGAGAAAGCGGTAGGAGGAGGCAGGCGCAAGGGAGAGAAGGGCGAGAGAGAGAGAGAGGAGAGAGAAAAGGGAGCGAGAACGAGAAAGAACTACAAGGCAAGCAAGCGTTTAGAAAAGAGGGAGGACAAAGGGAAGAAGGCGACAGCCTGACACAGCCCTTTCCTTCAGCTGCCCCTTTCCCTGTGGTCCAAGGCAGAAACGGGAAATGAATCCTTGCTGCGGGCAGAGGGCAGTTGCTGTTGGCCAGCTCTGTCTGCTACCTGGGTCCCGGTCTGAGCTGGGCGTGGGAAGCGAAGCAGCCATGGGGGCAGGAGACCTCCCTCAGAAGGAGTGAGGGTTCAGGCCCCTGCAAAGTTGGGGGGGTGAGGGTCTGTGCCCCACCTCTGTTGGCCCCCAAGTTCTCTCCTGATGGCCCCTCTGCGACTGTGCCTGTCTTAGGTTGTTCCTTCCCTGAGGAATCTTACCCGTCTCTGGCTAACCAGCCATCCTCCGGGGCCAAGCAGGGTGATGAGAGGTGTGCGAGGGGGGAAGGGGCAGCGCCCCCGCCAAGGAGGTCAGTTCTGTCTCCTTGGTAGCCTAGGCCCCCGTGGCCTCCACGCCCAGCACCTGCCTTGGGATTCCCCCGCCTACTGGCGGGGCCCCGGCTCTGGTCACATGTCTTGGGGAACCCAGGTTTCTTCTCCAGGGAGGGCCCAGCTCACACCCCTGGGCGACAGACAGGTCCATGGCACCGGCCACCAGGCAGCCCCAACCTCAGCATGAGCAGAAAGCCCAGGCCACAGCTGTGGGCAATAGGTTGCAAGAAGAGGGTCCCTCTTGGCAAAAGGACAAGAGGGGCCAACACAAGACGAAGGAGGAACGACCTGT